TTTTTCATTAAACTATTTATTTAATTATTTATTATTTTCATAGGACTATTTTGTCACAATACAAATTAGCAAGACTTGTCTATCATTACAATACAATACAACACATATAGAGAGAGATAAGAGAGAGAGAAATAGTACAGTGAATGTGACCATTTCATTCAATTATTTGGCAACAAATCTTTTCCTTATTTTGGTGTAACCTAAGACACATTAACTCATCAATTTGCCAAGGGATTATTCATGTAATTTTCATGGGGTCATTTGGAGAATCTAATTAAAGTTCATAGTTAGTTGATACACTAAATCTTCTATTAGCTAACCCTAATAATTGATTCGCAATGACGCCAATCATCGATATTTTTTTAGAAAAAAAAAAAAAAAAAAGATTATGCTTTTTTAGTATTATCTAATGAGATAAATCATTCTTGAATAAAATCCAATTTTTATTTATTTCATTTATTCTACGAACATAATAGAGGATACACGTTGCACCACCATTTTGAATTGAAAGATAGTGTTTAATAAAATTGGATATCTAAATGCAAAATAATTATTTACTTTGGCAGAAACTATGATTAGTTTAATGTTGGTTGATAATACGTGACGAATTTGAAACATATTATTCGGGGTTTTGAGGCATCGAGGATAATGCATTGCTTGAATGGGGTAGAGGGGCGGATCCACTTTTGGAGAATGGTGGCACGTGCCACCAGTGATTTTATTCATCAAAAAAAATATTTTATTATTTAATAAATGAGTTACCACAAAAAAAATTGTAATGCCCTCATTTAAAATTTAAAATTGTATTATTATTTAAAAAAATTAGATGGATTATTTAAAATTTAAAATATCAAACACCCAAATATTAAAATTCAATTCAATTAAAATACTTAATTTATATTCTAAAACATAAATATACAAAATAATATTATATTGTTATTATTTTTTAATAAATCGAGTTTTATAATTTACTTTATTTTTAAATTTATATATTGTGCAACTAATAAAAAATTTTCCTGGGCTAATTAATGTTTGAATAAGAATCAAATAGAAAATGATAAAAAAAATAAAGTATAAAAGTTAGTAGAATTCTCAATAAACTTAAAAATATTAGAGAATAAAAATATATTCATATAAATTACTTTTAAAACTATTTATCAATTACGGATGCGTTTATTTTATATTTTATCAATTTATAAAAAGTCGATATTTTATACAAAATATTACATAGTTCCCTCCATCTCATTTCAATTTACGTTTTTTCTTATTGATATGATATTTAAGATAATGGAGTGAATTTATAATAATAAGTTATTATATAATTTTATTTTTTTTTTTGTGAATAATTTTGTTGGTATTTTTAAAGTAAAAGTTAATGTATGTGATTAAAAATAGTTAAAATATGTATTCAAATATTTTTAAAATTACATCCGAATAAAATATATAATATGAATATCAATTTGTAGAAAATATAATTTTATATAATATATATAGATAAATAAAATAGTATATTTTTATTTATGATTAATATAAATTAATTTTATAAAAAGACGAAAAGTTTTAAATATAAAAAAAAATATTTTTTATTAAAAAAATACAAATAAAAATTATTTGAGTTGGTCGTATCTATAATAATATTATATGTTATTTAATTGATATATATTTGTTAAATATATTTTGTAGCTAACATAAAAGTACATATACATTCAAAATACACAAAGTAAACACAATATTTTTTTAGAGTATCATATCAAATACTTCTATTTATTTTAATTTATAAAATATCACATTAAAAACTTAAATACTCCCTCCGTTTCAATGAAAGGTTACGATTTTTCATTTTTGTCCGTCCCGAAACAAGGTTACTATTTCCTAATTTAGTAATTTTACTACCTACTTAACATAATAAATACCCTTTCAACTTATAATATATTACACAAATGTCATTACTTTTATATTACACCATACTAATAAAAGTATTTTTTTTTATCATAATTTAATATAATACTAATATTAAAAAATTTACGTGCAAAAAGCAAACGTCATCATTCTAACGGGACGGGAATTATATATATATATATATATTTCAAATTAAAAAAAAACATATATTTAATTGGCACATTTAATGATGATACGTGGCACAACCCGGTCGGCTAATTTTGTATTACTCCTATTAGTTAATTATGTGCCACTTGACTAAAATATAAAATTAAATTAATTTCTTTAAATAATAAAATAATAATAATAATAATAAAAACTAAAGATTAATGTGAATGATTCACGTGTTCAAAACATTGACTGTAGATTAAATATTAAATTCAATGAAATTTATAACATTCAATATAATATTTGAACCATACATATATAAAAAATTGAAATTAGATCCAGTTATATGTCTCACGAGTCAAATGTAGCTTAATAAAAATAATAATACTTCATCCGTCAACGTAAGAAAATATTTATTTTTCTATTTTAGTCCGTCTTATAATAAAATATTTATTTTTTTAATAATTGTACTATATATCTAACATTACAAATATTCTTACAACTTACAATATATTACACAAATGTCATTACCTTAATATCACACAATACTAATAAAGTTATTTTAATTATTTATATTTTATTTTTACTATATCCCAATATAATATTAATATTTCTAAAACTCCGTGTAAAAAGTAAATAAATACATAGTTATGGAATAAAGGGAGTATATATTATAGTATTAGTTGTTATGAGTTGGTGATTATTTATTAGTAAGTTATTTAATAATAGTAATCATAATAATATATGTTAAACAACTTGCTAAAGCCTATTTAACGTCACAAATCTTTAAATTTGTTCATCCAATTTATTTTTGAGATTTAAGTTTTTATAAATATTATTTAAAAAAATGTACTGTACATTTTAACATAATATATATTTTATTCATCCAAAAAAATCAACAACTCAGTACAAAATATTACTCCCTCCGTCCCAGATACCATGTTCAGGTTGCCGTTTCTGTCTGTCCCACGTATATGTCACTTTCCTTTTTTGAAAAATGATTACACACTTTAATTTCATTTTAAATTTTTTAATTTTATTTTTTTAATTTTAATTAAACTAATTAGTTATTTTAATCTTAATTTATAACTATTTATATTATAGGATAATTATTTTCACTAATACATTCTTAATTATCTACTAATTACATCTCTCCTAAAATACCGTGTCTACAATGTAACAGACACGGTATGTGGGACAGAGGGAGTATTTCATAAGATTCTTTATATTTAATATAAAAAATACACTAATCAAAAATACAAAGTGAACACACCCTTTGAAATAATAATAATAATAATAATAATGCATGTGATTTTTTTCTTTTTAAGTAGGGTTGGACAGTGAGGTAATGGGTTCAAATCCGGCCTCAGGTCACCTGCTACACATGGCTCGCCGAGGGTGACTTTTCCGTCGGACCTTATTTGCAGGGTATTAGGTTCGACTGGGGGTTTATTCAGTGTGCACTTTCGATATTAGCTGTGGATTCCACGTCATAATAATAATAATAATAATAATGCATGTGATTTTTTTCTTTTTAGATATGTTAAATTAAAAGAAATAAATGAGATTAAAAATACACTAAAAATTTTAAACAGGCCAAAATATTAAAAACACAGCCTAGGTCGGGTCATGATGTACTGTTGCAACTTGCAAATCTTGTAAATTAAATAATTAATAATTTAATATTAATTTATAGATATTCCATATAGGTGCTGGACCACTCTCACCTGCATGCTTCCAAATTAATGTAAGACCATCTAAAATGCAATCGAAAATATCGTTCTTTTGGAATTTTATTTTTTTATTTTTTCAATTTGAAAAATTATTAAAAAAGTACTTACATGTACACTTTTATGTTTAAATATATTTTGAAAATAATTTTTAAAAAATAGAAAATATATGTTCGATTTAACATAAATATTTCTAATGTAATATTTTGAAAATAAATAAATAAATATTCTATAAAATAATAGTATTAATGAAGAGTGTGTTTTGAATGTAATAATTTTTAAGGGACTTTTTGTGAATAATGTCATACTAGGTGCCAGTTTAAAAAAAAAATAAAAATTTAAAATAAATAAATATTAAGAAATTGAGTAATAAAAATATTTTAAAAAATACGTACCAACCGATACCAACTTTTATAATATATTTATATAATTAAAGAGCCCAAACAAGGGAATATAGCCTGCTAATACTATGAATCTTCAATTCTAATTTATTTTTTTATTAGCACGAGATGAACTTACGGTCACAAGTCTAACCCCTGTACCATTAGGCTATTTTCTATGGGATCATAGATTTTTTAATATTAGTATTATAATTGGTTGTAGTGAAAAAGACGAAAATACTTCTATTAGTACCGTCTAATATAAAAATAATAGCATTTGTGTAATATAGTATAAGTTAGAATGATATTGGGTATTTTTGTCATTTTCACTACAATACAACATAATACTAATATTAAAAAATCTACGTGTAAAAAGCAAACGTCACACTTTCAATTAGGACGGACAAAAATTGATTGTTCGAAGAATACATAATTTTGATTCCAAAAATGATATATTAATTTTTAAATCACAATTCACATACTCTTAAAACTGGAAGTTGTAAATTTAACCATGGCATAATGGTTGATCCAATATAAAGCATTAGTACTTTGTTGGGTTAAATTGGGCCTATTTATGTTTCTTCAAGGCCCATATTTGATATTAGTAATTAATGTGGATGTGTTTTTTTTTTTTTTTTTAAATTTGTTAAAGTTTTATTATTTATCAAAAAATAATTAAAATATTAAATCAAATATTTATTTTTTATTTTTTATATTAATCAATTCAAAATATAAGTGGGGAATTCGATTTCCGTCATAAATTTTCGAACAGATAATAATAATAATAATAATAAAATTCAATCGATTAAAATTTGGGCCCAAACTCGTTAAAAAGAGGTTTTAAGGAAGGTTTGGGGGCGGCCATTGGTGTTAGTGTTAGGGTTTATCAGAAGGTAGTAAAGCCACAGGAAAATCGAACATGGATTCCTTCTCCTCTCCGTCCACCGGATCGTCTTCGAAGATCTCGTCCGACGAAATGATGGAGCAGCTTAAGCTTCAGCTTGCGCAGGCTTATGCTGAAGAATTTTTGGAGGTATAGTCAATTGCCGATTTTATTTTTTAAAATTTCTAATTTTCCGAAATTTGGTTGGTTTTTCTTTGATTGCGTTGCTAACCTGCCAATTTTATATATTTTTTGGTTTGATTTCGTCTTTGTTGATGGACTGGGGAAAATGTAATTTGTTCGAAAATTTGTTGGTTTGGGATTTGTAAATGAAGAAGCGGTTTAGTGTTTCTCGGGGATGAAATTTATGAGGCCATGGATGCATCATGGTCATAGTTTTTCAATTACACACACACACACACATATATATATTTATATATATGTTCTTTTATTATAAGTGGATTTGCAGATTAGTTGTGTTATCGTCTTCTTCCTGAAATTGAGAAGAGTTTTGTTGACTTGGGGTTACTAATATCTTGCTTGTTTCTGCAAATGCCTTTAAGTGAACTCTTGCTTGCATCATTGATATAAAACTTTTTTGGCTCTGTAGAAATGTTGTTGGGATGATTGCACATTAATTTCCGGTGATGCTGAGAAAAATGTGGCCAATGGAGTAAAAATCGTTTTGTGTGAGAATTTATGAGATATCAGTAATTCATTATTTTCACAAAGTTTGGGACATGCTGTAGAGAGTTAAGAAAATGAAAATGAAAATAATAAAAATAATTTAGGTAGCAATTAACAAGTATGAGCTGCGAGAACGGTGTGGATTCTAAATAAAAAGTTTGTGGATTCTAAATAAAAAGTTCTTGGATTACAGGAAAGTGACAAGTTCTTTTGTATGTGATAATTGTGTACATATAATTATTTGTATTGTATTAAACTATTAATATGATGAGTGATAAAGTATTAGATTTATGTAAATATGTCTGCATTGTTAGATAATGATTTGATTCTACCACACATAATGATTGGTATTGGTTTTTGAAGTTTGAATTTTTGTCAAACATATGCATTGTTGCTCTTGGCGTACGTGTGCATTTTTGTTTTTCGGCATACATAGATAATGATTGTTGATCAGCTTTCATGTTTTACTTAGCCATCAGTATTAACACCAGAACAAAATCAAACACACAACTTATTAAAATTAACATTTTTTTTTTCTCTACTATAACTGATCATCTCTCATAATAATCATGAAATATTCTGCTGATTGGGAAATGTCTATGAAGATCTGTTTTGTAAGAAGCAAACAGGAGGATTATCTATCAATTCTTCATAGTCTAATCTGATCTCTCTCTCTCTAGAGTTCCTAGTTTCCTTTTACTGCTAAGAACAAATAATTCACGTTACTAAACGATTATGGCCCGTAGTGGAGTTTCATTGGCATGCAGCTATAGGTGTTTCTCATAGCTTAATGAAGAGCTTTGGATGAAGCCCATCTCCTCCATTTTTTAACACTCTGTTTAAAACTGCTCAAATGTCCTAAGTTGGAATTTGGTCCATGGATAAAGTAAGTTTCTAAATGGTCTCATCCCATGCCCGGCTCATACAAACCAAGCTGTTTTAAAGAAACTTCTAGATGAACCAAATCTCCACCTTAATATATATATATATATATTGAAACTTGCATTGCGAATAATTAATCAATTTATTAGTGATTTCTTTCTCGAATAATTTGTTGGGCTTTAGGTAATTGAAACTTGCATTGCTTATAATTAATCAATTTATCAGTGATCAATCTTTTTCTCGAATAATTTGTAGGGTTTTAGGTAAGTGATTACATAGGCTTGGGTGTTGTTTGTAATCTGTGCTGTGCATGCCCCTCTTTTACATCAAACAAAGAGTTCAATCTATCTATAAACATGAAGAATAGATATGCATATTGTAGCTGTGCTTCGGATTTATCCTCGTCCTCCTTATTGTTCTTCATTTACAAAACACTACATGACTAGAATTTTGTAACGCCAATGTAGACTGTTCGAGGAAAGTGCTTTGATAAGTGCATCACTAAACCTGGCAGCAGTTTGAGCGGAAGCGAGAGCAGCTGTATCTCCAGGTGCATAGACCGCTATATTGAGGCCACTGGCATCATTGGTCGAGCCTTGTTTAACCAACGCTGAAAGCTCATAAGTCGGTAAGAATTTCTATTTTAATTCCAATCGAAGCTATAAAGATACATGGCCTTTGAGTAGCCTTCTCAATTTTCACTTCTTTTTGGTCAAATTTTATATTCTCGCGTTATATTACATTGTTACTGAGTTGCATCGAGGCACTATGTCGTCTATGGTAACTTAGCAGCAGCAGCTTAAATCTCATAATCAGAAAAGAACACCTCACTATATTGGGCATTGCAATTGCAAATTGAGTTCTTTTTTCATTGCATATTTGCTTTATTATATCGATCTTCCTAGTATTGTTCGATATGTGTTTGGAATTTGATTGCCTTTAAGTTTACGACAAGCACTAGAGTTTTAAGTTATTCAGACAAAAAATTTCAAATATTCAATTTAAAATAATATATCTTATATTTTTAACACAATTCTTAGTGTTATGTATAAAAAAAATCAATTAATCTAAACACAGGGCGTGAATAGAGCCGGTATTTCTATTTCTATTTCATTTTGAAAGATACATTGAATGTTCGTTGGGACTATGAGCATTTTTAATGCGGGTTATATAAAAGTTTTGTAATTTTGAAAAAATCTAGGAATTGTAAATGTTGGAAATATTAGATGTCTTTTGAGAAGAGAAAAAAAAATTTTAATGTAATATTTTTAAAAAAGTTAGTTGAAGTTCCGGGTGTTTTTTATTATAGGTTAAATTATTGAGTTTGGAGTGATTTATGATGTCATAAAAGAAATTGAAAATATGTTTAATTAATTTAATAATTATATTTCTAAATAAAATATATACAGATGATAAAATTTTATATAATACAAATAAATACAAATATATATATTTTATAATTAATATAAATTAATTTTAAATTAAAGGGGAAAATCTTGAACGGATTTTATATCTATATATTTATTTTTTATATTTTTTCAAGGAGTACAAATAAAAATAAAAAAAGACTAAATTGTCCAATGTCAAGTAGATAAAAATGAACAAATGGATTAAGGGACGGAGGGACTAATATATTTTTTATAAAAGAAATTAGGAGCATAGTCAATTTGACTGTATACATGATTGAACCGCGCAATTGTTACCAATGTGTTTCCGAATTACTACTATTATTATTATTTTAACTTATTACAATTTACAATTAGTAAATTAAAACATGAATGAATGTAATACACTCCTTTGGTCGTCAAAAATTAGGTTAATTTGTTTTTGCTATTTGTATTAACCTGGTGTGTATTTGTTTTTGATATTTTATATTCTTTTGGGTTTCAACGTAAAGTGTATATATATATATTTTTTTTCGTCTATTATTCATATATTCTTTTTTTAAAAAAAATTATATATTTTAATTATATTTTCCATCTTACAATTTACTTATAATTTTAATTAAATTATTCGTTATTTTAATTTTAATAAATTATTATTTTGTATTATATAATAATTGATTTTATTGATACACTTTTTTAAATATTTATTAATTATATTTTTCATTTACAGAAGAAAAAAAAAAAAAAAACAAACCATATAAGAATAAAACCTAATATTGTTGTAATTATTTTATAGTTCTATTATTAGAAAGTCAAATTAAATAAACAAAAGTGGAGATAGCTCAGTTGGGAGAGCGTCAAACTGAAGATCTGAAGGTTCGATCCACGTTCACCGCATTGTTGTAAAAATTAATTTTTAATTAAAATCTAAAGGTTAATTATATATATTGGATTTGTTCATCCATAAAAAAAAATTTCTAACACAACTTTTTATTCTTATTATTAAAAGAATACTATACAATATATGCATATATTCAAACAAAATACATATTAACTTACTTATAAAAATTTCAATAATTTAATTCAAAATATTATTTTTATATATTATTGACACGTTACCCATGTTAAGAAAACGCTTCAAACATTGTAAGACGCAAAGCAAACACATCTATTGTTTTTTATATACTAATACTCTCATTCATCCAAATGACCCTTGGAGACACTGAATTTTAATTTTAAGTATTGCATATACTTATTAATAATAAATTATGATATTATTTTATTATTTTTTATATAAATAGTGGTGTTAGTATTTTAAATATTTTTAAAATAATATCGTAATAAAATATATAAGATATGAATATTATTTTATAAATAATAAAATTTATATAATACAAATAAATAAATAAAATTATATTTATTTATTTATAATTAAGTTAAAACTAATTTTATAAAAAATAAAAAAAAATTAATATAGATAAAAATATTTATTTATTGAAGCTGGAGAAAAATAAAAGGTTTTGAATGGCACTTGAAATTAAAATTTTAATTGAATTAATTTATATATTTATTAAATATATTTAAGATGAATAAATTTATAGAAATGATTTTTTTTATAAGGTGTAAACCCTAATAGAACCTAATATCCTGCAAACTAGACCGTGACCCTGAAGGTGTTGAGGTTCAGTGAGGTAAACCTCCAATCGAACATAATATCCTGCAAATTAGACCCGTGACCCGGAGGCGTCTGGGGTTTGAATTCATGATCTCGTGGTCACGAATCCATTCCACACTATCAGGTCATCCCACAAGAGGAATTTTATTTTTTATGTTTTTATGACATAGAAACCTACGGTCGCTACCCAAGAGTAGGCACCCAAGAGTAGGCACGGAATAAATCTTCTACCGAACCTAATACCCTACAAACGAAGTCCGACAAAGCAAATCACTGTGCGAACCATGTGTGGCAGGTGGACCCGAAGGTGCTGAGAATTTAAACCCAAGACTCACAGTTACGAATCCACCTCTAAACCACTGGATCATCTTTTACTGGCTGGATTTTTTTATGACGTAGGAATCGACGGCTGCTATTCGAAAGTGTGCACTGGGTAAATCCCCAGCTGAACCTAATACCCTACAATCTAGGCCCGACAGGCAAGTCACACTAGGCGAACTATGTATGGCAGATAACCCGAGGTGTCGGGGGTTTAAATCCATAATATTATGGTCACATGTTCAAGCCCCGGTAACTTTTTTTTATTTTTTGGATGACGTGGAAACCCACAGCCAACCCCGGTAACTTCTTGATTTCACATGAGAGGGAGATAGTTCATTATGTAGAAAATACCAGAAAAATATATTTAGTGCAGAATGAGTGAGTATTAGCAACAGAATCCATGACTTAGATGTGAACAAAGCCACCCACCCGCCCACCCAATCAATCCTCCTAATTCGTCATAAAATTGCAATTCATGATAAATCAGAATGCTCTTTTAATCTTATTTTAACCGAAATGTATGCAAAACATACCCGGGTTCGGCAATGCGAACGAAATCTCTAGCCATCCATTGCGTTCTTTTACATCCTCAGAGTATGCAGGATGTATTCGGCATAAAGATCCCTGCACAACCAATTACCAGAATTCAAAGTTTCTGTCACACAAAAATATTTTCCTTCGAAATGGCGCAACCCCAAAAGCTTACATGGAATACTGAATTGCATCGACAGCTGCAGATGCAGGCAAGAAGTCGTTCACTGCGACCTCTTTGTTCTCATTCTTCTTGTCTAATCAACACTAAGGTCAAGAAAAGTTTTTGAACATTGAGTAGAATGGTTTGAGGACTTAAAGATGATATAAAAAGGATACAGTCTTCGAAGAAGCGCCGGATTTCTGCAAGGCGATGAGGTGGAAGCTGGCTGATATCATTGATGTGGCGATACTCGGGGTCGTCAGCACTTACTGCTATGATCTTATCATCTTTTTCTCCCTGTTCAATATATATATGTATATGTATATTAATGAAATGAATCGAATATATTATCAATGTAAAATAAGTGGTTGGATTGGAGTTATAATACCTGATCAATCATGGGCATCAAGCCTATGGCTTTGGCACGAAGAAAACAGCCGGGATTGACAGGTTCCTGTAAAGGAAAAGTCTCATCATATTAGTGCATATCGGGAGTTATAGGATCTTTGAGTTATGCAGTCTTTAGGCAGAGTTGTGACCTGCATAATGACTAATACATCGATGGGGTCATTGTCTTCACATAGGGTTCGAGGAATGAAGCCATAGTTGTGAGGATATACGACTGAGGAATACAGAACACGATCAACCTGGACAATTAAAGATATGTTTAGAGTTTATTTGGTTGCCACTGAAGTATGGATAAACAATAGAGAGATTTGATGGTTGCTGTACCTTGATCAGACCAGTTTTCTTGTCAAGCTCATACTTCACTTTGCTGCCTCTCGGGATCTCTATCACCTGAAATTATCGAACAAAAGGTTCAATCTTAAGTATGACAATACAATGACTTCTTGATGTTCTAAGTCGTTCAAAAACAATTTCGTACAATCACATTTACAAGTGTGTGTGTGTGTGATTTTTTTTTCAAAATTCAAGCATGAATCACTCCGTAATTTTGAATCATAATTACTCTTCCAGTAGCCCTCCACACCATATTTAAGATTCTTCAATAATAGTATTCTTTCTCTATAATAAAAGCTCAAAAATAAATTCAGTAATTTATATTTTGTATTCTATAATACAATCAAATTATCACAGAATCTTAAACTAGTATATATACCAATAAAAATTGGCACAATTCTTCCCTGTTCCCTAGCCTCATAAAAACACACAATACCTAAACATATCTGTCGGTTTTTGATCCATAATCTATGCTTGAACACTTGGAATATAATGATAGAAAAGGATGGAGATTACATACAACATTAAATATTTCTGGTGCTCCTGGACCTGTAGAAAGAGGTAAACTTCATGAAAATTGATAGATCGAGAAAAAGGCTTAACTAAGGAAATTCAACTTCTTTCATTACCAATCTCAAGATCGTGCCATGGATGAGCAGCGACTGATCTCCTAGACAAAGATGAAAGGATCCTCTCATTCAACCTCGGTGTGGGGTGGGGTGCAGGGTGGTTTGCAGGCAAGGAATCAGCTCCACTGTTTTCACTCATCTTTAACTGAATCAATAAACATAATCAAGCCCCAAGAATTGATCGTGAAATTTGGTATGCATAATAGATCGACAATGAAAAGTCTTCTGGACAAAAAAGTGTTCTGTTCACTATATAAATCATTAGAATATATAGGATCCTTTATTGCCACTCGATTCATTTTCAGGTAGAACAAATTATATAAATCAATAGAACTAGAAACAATTTTTATTTTGAAGGATAATGGAAAGGAAAATATCAAAATACATGCCAGGGCAATTAGTTTTAATTGTAATGTCAACAATAATAATCTTAAGAAGAAATGCTTTAAAATGAAAACCATATATTATTACAAACATTATAGTGATTGAAACAAAGTAAATGATAATTCGGGTCTCCCTGTACCTTAAGAACCCTAATTGTGACATTTCCCCTTTAAATTCTCACCACCTTTATTGCTAATTAATCTTCTCATCATTCTTCTGAAATAGTAAGATAAATTAGTTTACATTTTTCCGTGTCTGTGTTGATTTTCTTTTTTCTTTTTCTTTTTCTTTTTTTTTTTCGCATAGCTTTCACAAATCAATCCAGAATTTCATTTAACTATAAAACCTGCGAACAATACTTCTCTGCCATTGGAAACTTATCCGCCCTTTCTCCTATCAATTTTTAGTTACCAAACCAAACACCTACAGAAGATCGAGAAAACTCCATACAGCCAAACAGCGGATAAAGCATAAAAGAAAATGACTCGAACACCTCAGATTCACGTAGAAAGCATGACGCATAGCGGTTCTAACGAATCAAACAAGCACAAACATTACTAATTGAACGAACTACAAATCAACGCTAAGTAAACGAAAACCAAACCATAAACGTATCGAAAATCAAAGGAACCTGAAGGAGGCAACTCCGATTGAATCGCGGATGATCAGAAAGTAATTGACCAGAGGGAAAAGCAGAGTTATGTTTTCGATGTGACCTTTTCTGGTCGGGGTTTTTATACGCGAAGCCTTCAGGGGTCAACACTCTATGCACCAGGGTGACTGTTACGGGTTTGGTCCGTGAAATTCGGGTTCGGAGCCTGGTACTGTTTTCCATTTATTTTTCATAGTAAAAAGGAGGAGTATTTATTTAAAATATATTTTAAATAAAATTTATTATTCTCAGTTTTAAAATAATAGATTTTTTTTAGCGCCAAATTTAAAAAACACTAATATTATATTTATAAACACTAATATTATATTTATAGTGGACAAAAAATTAATAGTTAATATTTTTTATGGTAGATTTAGAAATAATAAAATAGTATTTTATTAGTTAATGAAAATATATATTAATTTTGATATTCTTGTCTTTTAATTTTATATAAAAATTAATGTACGTGTAATACTATATTTGTATTTTATTTAAAAAATTATAGTACTTTGATATTTGTTTTGATATTAGTGTATAATTATTTTTACTAAAATAAAAATATATATATTTTTTGTAAATATATTTTGATTTAAGTGTAAAATTAATAGTATTTATATAATAATAATAATAAATCAAATTAATTTATAGTAATATAATTCTTTATAATAATAAATAAAAATAAAAAAATAAATCTATTCTTTTAGGATTAAAAAAGTACTTTTTAAAAAATATTATATAGATATTTTTTTTAAAAAAATGAAAATTAATTAAATAATTTTAAAATATGTATTTTACTAATTAAAAGGTTGAGGATTTTGTCATTGGTTACATCTTCATTCTTATGGTGTGTTCGTTTGTAGAATTTCAACGAAATTCTACTATTCATTCAATTTTTTCCCCCAAAAAACATCAAATCAAACACTTATTTTTTATTTATTATATTATACTAAAAATTAATTTTACATTCAAAACATCACATCAACACCTATTTATATCATATCATACAACTATTCAAATTCAAAATTTTTACTATTCAAATCCCAACTCAAAATTTTACTATTCAAATTAATTTTTACTGTTCGGTTCGTCTCATATAATTTATTTTTATTTTTAAATATGATTATATATTTTAGTTAATTAATTAATATAATAATTCTTAAAATTTGTACTCAATCAAAATAACATATATTTGGTGGAAAAAAAATAATAATAATTTTATAAATTTTTATAATTCACAAAAATAAAACACCTAAAGTATAAGCACTATAGTGTTTAGAAATTATTGTTATTAATTATTAAAAAACTTGTTATAAAGAAAATAATAAAATACAATTCCTTATAAATATTTTTAAAAAATACTTAACATGTGTATATCAAAACAATATATAATACAAACTTTATCCACTTAAGTCAATAATTAAATAAAAAATTATTATTTTTTATATTACTAACGAAAAAATTTCATACTTAATATAAAATATATTAATCAAAAATTACAAAATGAACAAATTCAATACTTAATATAAAATATATTAATAAAAAATTACAAAATGAACAAATTCAATATTGACGTTGAAAAAAACAAACTCATATTTTTTTTATTTTTTAAATGACAATGAAAGATCGAGAGTGTATCTAATTGATAATTATTTTTTAATGCAATCTTTGATATCAAACATAAATACACACATACTGTTGTTATAATTAATTTTTAGTTTTATATATAAATTGTCAAATTAAATAAACAAAAGCGGGGATAGCTCAGTTGGGAGAGCGTCAGACTGAAGATCTGAAGGTCACGTGTTCGATCCACGTTCACCGCATTTTTTATTATTTACTGTTGTTTCTTTTAATTATTTCCTCTCTTTGCATAACAACCAATTAGCACAGCCCAAAGTGTAAGTCGGCCCGGACCAGTTATTTACTGGGTCTTTTGAAGGTTTTCATAATAGCCCAAAGTACAAATCGGGCCGGCCCCAGCACAACCTTGATTTTCAAAGCAATTTATGTTAAAATATTTATTTAAAAATGTAATAAAATCAAATTTTTATTATATTTTTTAAAATTAAAATTCTTAATTAATAATAAAAATTATTATTTTATTGTATCTGTTATAATTTATTTATTCAATAAAATATTTACATAAAACATAACTAGAACTAATTTTTTACTAGTTAGCCTATATTAGCTCACAAATCACTATAATATGTAAACATATGGGTTATTTGTGGTCAACTCACAATAATATAAATATTGATTGGACATAAATTTTTATATAAAAACTCACTTCCATTATTAATATGATTGCACACAAATTTTTTATTTTTTATTTTTTAAAAAAAGGTGAAAATAATTTTTTGATCCTTTTACAGTAAAATAAATGTAGAAAAAATTATATATTTTACTAAAATAATAAAAAATTTTTATTTTTTTATATCAACAAGACAGAAATAGTAGTTATATTATAGAATTAAAATAATAAACATTTTATAAAAAAATCTAACATAATCTTTTATAATTAAAAATATACTACCTCCGTTCTAAAACAAGAATAACTTTTACTTTTTGCAAGTAGATTTTTAAATATTAGTATTATATTGATTTACAGTGAAAATGACAAAAATACCCTATTAGATTGTGTGGCATAAAAATAATGATATTTGAATAATATATTAAAATTTGTAAACTAATTATGTTAGATAGATAATACAATTATCTTATTTGGAGATGAAAAAAAAAATGATATCATTTTTATAAAACGGAAGAAATATTATAATTATAACATAAGAACGGATAAGACTGAACTAAACTGTGTTGAATAACTAAAAAATGATTCAGTTTAAATATATTAAAAATATAATTAAATTGCATAAATTCTGTTGAATAACTAAAAAATGATTCAGTTTAAATATATTAAAAATATAATTAAATTGCATAAATTAATATAAAATTTTTTAAAAGCATTCAGCATGTTGCTGAAATTCTTTTTTGCTTTCATATAATTCATAGTCATATAAGAATGTATTTTATTTTATTTTTTTAATGGATTTATAAAAAAATTGATTTAAATTTGATATTAAAATAATGTATAATAATATATTTTGTAAATATATATATATATTTTATAAAAATGTAAAATTTAAATAGTAGAACCTTAAAGTTTGACGGCAGAACAAACCTTTAGTTTACGAACTAACCAGCCCACTGCAGGTCCTACTCAACCCAATTTTGACATTTTTACAATTTTTTAAAAAATTAGACTGACCCAACCCAGATCAATTTAAAACCAACCCATGTCCGGACCTGAGTTATCTAAAATCAGGCCGGGCCTGTTCCGGCAAGAATCTAAACCGGATCAGACCGTCACGAAAAAAAACCCAACCCGGTCCGAAATTACTCTATTTTTTACCCACATCTCCAATTCAAACAAAATATGAAAACTCAAAATCAAGGATTAGAAAACCAATATTGCCCATAAAACTATTCAAGAATCAATTATAATTATAATCCCCCTTCAAAATAAGCATGCAATTACCAATTCAAATCTAGAAAAAGGGTTAAAAGAGTATAAAATGAAACCTGTTATTCTCTTTCGATCTGGATAGTAACATGGCTGATGTTGTACTCCCTCCGAAGGTAGCCGACGACTCTGTGCAGAACCTCGTCGGCGTCGGCGTCCGGCCGGATCATAACATGGCAAGCCAGCAACACTTTCCCGACCGTTATAGCCCAAATGTGCAGCTCATGGACAGCCACAACCTCCTCCATCTCACAAACACCCTTCTCGACCTCCGCCGCGTCGATCTCTCTCGGAGTGCTCTCCATCAGAACGTCAAGGATGTTCCGCAGCATCTTGGTTGTCGTCGCCAGGACGATCACGGAAAAGACGAGGGTGCAGATGAGGTCGATGATCTTCCATTCGGGTTTGTACCAGATGATCGCCCCTCCGATCATCACCCCGATGCTTTGTATCGAATCGCCGAGCACGTGAAGGTACGCCCCGTAGATGTTCACATTTATCGCCTTCTTTTTGTGTTCTTCGTTCTTGGCTTCTACTCCGACTGCAGTACCGTCGAGTAGCGGGTTGCAGGGGTTTATGCTCAGGGTGGAATCATCGTCGCCGTTCTCCGGGTGCGGTTGCTCGACATCGTGATCGTGGCCGTGATCGTGATCATGATCATGATCATGATCATGATCGTGATTATGGCCGTGATCGTGACCCAACAAGAGCGCCATGACGATGTTCACCAGCAAACCGAAAGTAGAAACAACAAACATCAGGTAGCCTTGGACTTCTCCCTCGTGATGGACTAACCGAACAATTGCTTCATAAACGAGAATCCCGGCAAGAAGCCATATCAATTGAATCGAGACGAGCGCGCCCAATATTTCTACTCTGAAAAATCCATATGACCTCCGCGGCGTGGCTTCCCATCCGGAAGCCCAGAGCGAAAACAGGGAGATAGCAAATGCAGCAACGTCCGACAGAAGATGAGCTGCATCGGTTAAGATTGCTAAACTATTAGCCTTGATGCCGCCGACGATTTCCACGCTCATAAAAACTAGGCACAATACGACCGCAATCAGAAGCTTTTTCATCGAAGTTGAACGCTCCTTTGCGTCTTTGGAACTCGCCTTTGCATCTGAGAAACCACATGTTAGACCTGCACATACCTTGCTTCCACTAGAGGCCCTATTCGTTGCCGACTTACCGGTACCGACTACAAGGACAGGCGTATGCTCTGAATTTTGTGTCTCCATCTGTATACAGATTGATAACTGAGTGTAAGTAGTCAATCATCAAAAAGTTCATCCATCTTTGAATAGCTTTTAGGGATTGATTAAGACCTGGCATTCCTGATAATGAATTTTTTTGACTAATAGCAGATATAATCCAATTGGAAAGGGAAATCTACAGGTTTATTATAGGTTCGTTATCTATAGCTGAATTTCAAGCTTCAAGGAATGGAAATCAGCCCTGGCAGGAATTTATGGGGGAAAAAAGTGTTGAGGAGCATACAAATTCATCTTTTCAACATCTATCGCAGCAAAAGCACTTCTAAATCCATCAATGGAATGTCCGTCATCAACAAGAGAACTGAATGTTTTGATAAAAATGGAGATTGGATATCCTTGACATTTTGTTTGATTTTTCCATTATTCTAACGTATCTATTTATCTTAGGCTATGAAATCAATCTATCTCGCGATTTCTACTTTGAAATCTATTTGTTTTCCATTCAATTTTCCCACAAAATAATAAAAAAATCAAAAAATCAAAACTCAAACAAAATAAAAAGTAAAACCAAAGCTAGTAAAAACACACTATGAATTTTCCGCGCAAAAGCATACTCTAAAACGCACCGAAAACACCAACCAAAATTTCCACTGTAACCCCAATATGACAATAAATTTTGAAAAACGATCCTAACGCGTGAAATTTATAGCAACAACACAGAAAAACGAAGCATAAAATGCAATCAAAGCCAGAAAACAACCAACGAAGACGAAAAACGTCATGAATTAGATCATAAATATCCGATAAATTCATTTAATGTAAATCACACAAAAAAGACGACTAAAATCAAACAAATCGAATAGCAACTAGGTAACAAACATTGCATCAACACACGCATCGAATTGAAGAGATCTTACCATTACGGAGACGAGATTCAGAGCATCGCCTCACAAAAACCCCTAGATCGTCCGAATGGTGCAGAGTACACAGAGAGGAACTCAGACGATTGCAGCGTGGATTGAACCAATCGTCGGGTTGGGAATTAGCGGTAGGATTTTGAGGAAGGAGAAAATCCATATTTATTATTGGTTAATTGCAGAAGCAGATTTGGAAGGAATAGAGATAGAGAGAGAATCGAAGAGATGTTGAAAAGGATGTTAGGTGATAATTATGTATAGATGATTTATTATTCCATTTTTACCCTTCCACTAATTTTTCTTCCTTTTAAGATGGGTTTTGATGAGTGTTTTAAAAAAATAATAATAATAATAATTTTTTTAAAAAAAGTATTCTATTTATTCTATTTAATTTGTCGATTAGATTTATTTTTTAAAAAAAATATAATTATATACTTTAATTATATTTTAAATTTGTAACTTATAATTTTTTATTTTAATTAAATTATTTAATTATTTTAATTATAATTAATAATTATAATTATTTTTACTAATATAATTTTTAATTATTTATTAATTATATAATACTTAAAACTCCTGAGACTAAGGTTAATTATAAAAATTAAAATAATGTATTAATTGAATGCTGTTGAAATATAATTAAATATGGAAATGCTATTATAATTTTTATTTTTATTTTTTCTATTAGATAGAGCGTAATAAATACGTTAGAATATTTGTCATTGACCACTAATATTATTATCCAAAAATAACCTATATCAGTAAGAGGGCAAGAGGCCGTCATTAAATAAATTAGAAACTTTATAAAGTAATTTTCTTTTTTCTATTTTATTTTCTTATACATGAGATGTTTTTCAATATTAAATTTAATGTCGCTTTATTTAAATAGGGCGTGAAAAAAACTCTAAACATCAAAGCATTTACTGAAAAAATAAAAAGAAACGAAGGTATATTTAGTTTAGTTTTGATTATTTTATAAAATCTATAAAAACTGTATGAAAAATAATAATAATACTACCTCCATCAACTCTCAATCTATTTATTTACTTTTTGCATATTAATCTTTAAATATTAATTATTATATCAAAATATAATATAAATTAAAGCAAAACGACAAAAATACTTATATTGGTATCTTACTAATGAAATAAAATTTGTAAAAAAAAATATACAAATATAAAGATATTTTTAACGTTAAAAACAATGACACCAAATACAAATTGATAAATTTGTGGTGGACGTAGCTAGTAATAAAATTTCAAGTAAACAAAATCAGATGAGTATGTGACACAAGAATTATTGGGGATATATCATAGTAAAAATTAATACAATTTATAGTTGTAAATACTATATTCATACTACACAATTATATATATATATATATTTATTTATTTATTTATTTAACACAACTTGTGTTACATACAAACTTGTTTACTTTCTACACTTCAAATGTGATAAATAGATAAATTAACATGATACCCCTTTCTCTCATTCACTACAATAATGGGACCATATATACTTATATTACTAAAGAAATATCAAATAAATACAAAATATTATTATTTTTTATATTAGTTTTTCTATACTTAATATAAAATACATTAATTAATAACATAAAATAAAATTTTATATTTAATAGTATTTATTTTACGGTTATGTTTAGATAGCCAATTTGTCAAGTTTAAGTGGGACAAGGAGAATTAGACATTATAGTAAATAATTAAAAAGTATACTAGTAAAAATAATTATGATATAATTACGGAGAGAGTATAATATAGAAAATAAAAAATAATTTTTGTAATTTGATATTTATCTTTAAAAAATTATTTTATAAATAATAAAAATTAAAGAAATTTTGATAAAAGAATATACCCATAATAAATTTTGGAATCAACTGGGCTTAGGTACACAAACTGAGTCTAAAGGCAGCAGCGGTAGGCAGGCGCCATTGACCCAATTAGTATCATACAATTCAGTGTTGACACTGACCTTTTCAATAGATGTTGAAGAGCAGCAATTAAATAACATTTCATTTATTTTGAATTATTATTGTAATTATAATTAATTAATTCATTAATTAATGAGATTAAAGACAGAAATCTGACCCCAAAATAGCAGATTTAATTTTACAAAACTTCCTCGATGTTCATTCCTATTAAAAGAATTAATCATTGAAGACATTTATACCTGCAACTTTATAACGAGGGAATAGATTATATGCTGATGTTTATATTCATTGAATTTATTTTTAACCATTGATTTTACATATAATAATTTTAATCAAATTAATAATCTACCATGTGAAAGTTATGTTAGCGCTATGTATAAATTTCGATTAAAACTATGGGTCAGTTTGACTTGTATTTTGTATTTTAATTATATAAATCAGAATACCTTTATGAGTGTGACAATTATTAAATTGTAATGAATTGCTTATTTTGTAATATATACACTACGAAGCATTTTCTAAAAATACCTATGTTTAGTATTTTCAGTCGAAAGTTTATCTCGAACACATTCGAAAAATATCGACGTCAGATTCTTACATCATAAAAAAAAATCTCAAATTTGAGCTCTAGCAAGAATAAAAATAAATTGACAAAATCCCAAGTAGAATTAGATATCAACTACACCCAAAATGCAGCAAGAACACACTATAACTAAATACAATTTCAAAACACAGACTTACACAAGTTCTTTCTTCTTCTTCGGCTCAAGAACAGGAGGGTCGATGTCGATTCCCATATTTGCTGCAGTCCCTGCTATGATCCGCATTGCTGACTCCACGGTTGAGCAGTTCAGGTCCGGAAGTTTTTCCTGCGCAATGGTGCGCAGTTGGTCGATTGTGACCTTCCCGACTTTCTCACTCTGAGGGTTGCTAGACCCTTTCTCCACACCTAAAGATCGGCACAAACAAAAGGCAATGTGTTGTTTAAATATCAGAATCAAAACATCGTTTCTAGCTAAAGGATTTGCCGTCACTGACCCTTATTTGAGCTAGTTAAAGTATGTTGGGATCATGGTAGTCGATAAATTGGATTTTGATTTTAAATATCTTGTGATGATGATGCATATGTATCCTTGGAGCTTCTGAAGAGTTAAATCTTCGAAATTATTGACAGAAAGTTCATAAATTTATGTTACAGAAACTATTGGCATTTACGACCCTAAATAGAAAGACTATTCCTCTAACAATTCCTATGTAATATGAAAAATTCTTTGACAAGACGAAAACAGGATAGTGAGCAAAAGTAAAGAAAAGCATGGTAATTTAGTCGGAAATTGAAATGCAGCACCATTGAAAACAAGTAGTGTTCTTCATCAAACAGTCGATGAAATCAAAACCCAAATCTTGGTAGAGGATGAAATACCATTAATGGAACTACCAGCTGCATATCAAATCAAGAATCTTAAAATAAACATCCAACCTCCGAATCTCACCAAACAGCCGATGCAATTTCACATAAGCATGCTTGTCAACAACTTCTAACAAAGCAAACCTTATTCGAATCTTCCTTCATCCATTCATTGTTTATTTATCTAATCTGTTTGTTCAGTTGTTTACACACTTTATAGATGATCACAGAATGTAAGAGGCATGAGAAACAATGGAAACATACCAGCAGCCTTCAGCAACAGAACTGAAGCAGGCGGAGTTTTCAACACAAAAGTGAAGCTCCTGTCCTGGAAACAAGCAATTCCTAATTAATCAAATCCTTCAATCCAAATTACAACAAAATTAAACTGATTAACAATGTTCATAGCAAACAAAACTCACATCATAAACCGTAATTTCAACAGGAATGATATAGCCAGCCTTATCAGCAGTTCGAGCATTATAGTCCTTACAAAACGCCGCAATATTCACACCTTTCGCACCCAACGCCGGCCCCACTGGCGGCGCCGGAGTCGCCTTCCCGGCCTCCAGAGCCAATTTCACCACCCCAACCACTGCCAATTTTGCAATAACCAAAGCAACCAGTCCAATTAAACACACCGCGAGCGCAAATTACATGACCGACAATTGAGCCAACAGAAATAGATATTAAGACGCACCTTTCTTCGCTTTTCCGCCAGGTTTAGGAGGCGCCATGGAAATGATCGTAAGACGTCGTGGAGAGGACTGTATCCGTAAATTGCTCGCGAACTGCAGACCAACACATCTCTTCGAGGATAAATTTGGAGACGAATTGAGAAACAATGAGATACATTGTTTCTTCCCCTCGTTCTCGCTGCTGTCCTTCTTGAGAGACGGAGAGGAAACTGATACCACCGAGTTGTAGGCGTAGAGGGATGAAGCAGCTGCCATTATCGTCCCACAAATGAAGCCTGGCAAAAAGCTAACGCAAGAGGATAGAATTGCAGGCGCGAGCGCATACCCAACGACGTCGTTTTGATGGCCTCATATTTTGGGCCAACTGTACATTGGACTGTTTCTATTTTAATGGTTTTGGGCCACAATATAGGCGGCTTACAGCAGAATATCTTATGGGCTAAGTATGGGCCTTCTAGAAGCTGTAGGCCCATTTTGTTGACCCAACAAGTCCGGGCCTTCTAGAAGTTGTCGGCCCATTCCGTTGACCCGACAGGAAGGCCGACCATCTTGGAAAGTACGTTTACCGTCTGACACGTGTATCCTTCTAGAAGCTTGAAATCTAATCACTCTTTCTTTTTTTTTTAATGCTCCTTTTTAGATGCTCATTTTGTCTCAATAATAATACTTTTGATTTTTGGAAAAAAAAATTTAAATAATATTGGTATTATACTTGTTAATTGAAAATATTCCTTTTTATATATATATTAGAAGGGGATGATTACCATGTTGATTTGCAAAATACATCAACACGTGTTATATATACAAACAAAACATATTAATATTACACACATAACATGTTGTGTATAATAAAGAGATGTGTTATTTTTTCAATAATAACAAATGTATTAATAGAAGTATGTCATGTACTAAAATCAACTGTTATGTGTACTATATGAGACTATAACATGTGTTGTTAGTTCATATGTTGTACTTATATTATATTAACATATACAATGTGTTGTCTGTAGTAATATTGTGTGTTGTATGTAATTATATTTTGTGTTGTTGAGACTATAACATGCGTTTTTTGTTCATGTAATGTATTTGTATTATATTAACATATACAGGGTTAAAGTAATGATGAAGATCAAGCTCTAATTTTACTGTGTTCACTACCTGGTTCATATGAGAATTTTGTAGATACTATGTTATATGGTAGAACTACAATTTCTGTTAATGATGTGAAAGATGCCCTTATGTCTAAAGAATTGAAAAGAAAGGTTTCTCTGGAAGAGGGTTCTGGTTCAGGTCTGTTTGCAGGTAGGGAAAGACCACAGGAGAGGGGTAACGAAAATGGGAAGTCGCGTTCAATATCAAAATCCTCTAGTAAAGTTAAGTGTTATCTTTGCAAGGAGAAGAGGCACGTTAAAAGGGATTGTCCACAGAAGAAGGGAAATACAAAGGTTGATTCTAGTAACAGTGGCAGCAGTGCTGTTGTGGTACAAGACAGTTCTGATGATAGGGACTTTGGTGAAGTTCTAACAGCGTGTAATGCTAGTACTGCTAATTCCTGGATTATGAATACCGGTGCTTCTCACCATATGATGTTCTCTCGTTATCTACTCACTTCTTTTAAGGAGTGGAATGAAACGGTGAAGTTAGGTGATAATGAGGTTCTAGCCATAAAGGGGAGCGGGATAGTACAGATAAAATTGCATGATGGTACTGTCAGAAAATTTGACTGTTGGTATATTCCTGAACTCAGAAAGAATTTGATTTCTCTTGGCACCTTAGCCAAGAATGGTTTAAAATATCATGGTGAAGGTGAGTGAGTGAAAGTCCTAAAAGGTGCTCTGGTAGTGATGAAGGGAAAACTGTAACATGAAATTTATTTTCTACAGGGCAGTTCAGTGATGGGAACGGTGGTGGTATCCTAATCCTTGGATAAACATGATGAGAGGACAAATTTGTGGCACCATCGATTAGGTCACATGAGTGAGCTAGAGTTGTCTGTGTTGAGCAAGCAGGGTTTATTTGGTGGAGATGTGATAGGTAAAATTCAATTCTGTGAAGCTTGTGTAAAAGGGAAGCAACGCAGGGTGAGGTTTAGTACCGGTCATCACACTTCAAAAGAAATTTTGGAGTATGTTCATTCAGATATATGGGGTCCTTCTCCGGTGAAATCGCAGTGCGGGTGTTTTTACTTTGTCACTTTCATAGATGATTATTCGAGAAAAGTCTTGTTGTACTTTTTGAAGACTAAAGATGAGGTGTTTGGGAAGTTTAAGGAGTGGAAGACCATGGTTGAAAAACGGACGGGTAAACAGGTCAAGACTCTAAGAACTGATAATGGGTTGGAGTTCTGCAACGCTTCATTTGATGATTTCTGCAAGAAAGAATGTATAGTGAGGCACCGCACTGTACGACACACACCACAGAAAAATGGAGTTGCAGAGCGAATGAATCAAACCCTCATGGCGCGTGCTAGGTGTATGCGCATATTTGCTGATTTATCTAAGCAATTATGGGCTTAAGCAGTTAATATTGCTAGTTATCTGATTAATAGATCTCCATCAACTGCAATTGACTTAAAGACTCCTCAAGAGGTATGATCCGGTAAACCCTCTTATTACTCTAATCTAAGAATATTTGGATGCCCTGCATACACTCATGTGAATGATGGTAAGCTGGAGCCGAGGGCGTGTAAAATGCATATTTCTAGGGTATGCAACAGGAGTAAAAGGGTATCGATTGTGGTGTACATCAGGTAAAATCCTGGTATATTTCTTATTAGCAGAGATGTAACATTTGATGAATCTGCTATGCTTGATCAGAGTAGAGGTTGTGAAAGTATTACAGGTACAAAAGATTGTGGTGCTAACCAGATGGTGGAGTTTGAGACTCATGACAGAGTTTTGTTAGAGGAAGAGCAACATGATAATACTATTGATCAATCCGATCAACCAGATCAGTCAAAACCTCAAGGGAAACAGGTTGAGGGGAAGTTGATGACGCTGGTACTGGGGTTGAAGATTCCATAGCAGCAAGAAAGGGAAAGAGAAATATTCAGAAACCAGCTAGGTTTGCAGGATATGTCAATACATGTGACATGAATTATGTGGCTTATGCACTGGCGGTTGGTGATGATCTCGGCTCTGATGAGCCAAAGACATATAAAGAAGTTGTGGCGAGTAAAAATGCAGAAACCTGGATTATAGCAATGAATGAAGAGATGCAGTCTCTTGAAAAGAACAAGACTTGGGATCTTGTTGCACTACCAAAAAGGGTGAAGCCAGTGGAATGCAAGTGGGTCTTTAAAAGAAATGAGGGAATTCCTGGTGTTGAACCTGCTAGGTTCAAAGCAAGACTAGTGGCAAAAGGGTTTTCACATAAAGAAGAAATCGATTACCATGAAGTCTTTTCTCCTATGGTGAAACACAAAACCATTCAGGTTCTTTTGGCAATGGTGGGTGCTTTTGATTTGGAGCTGAAGCAGCTTGATGTAAAAACAGCATTCCTTCATGGTAACCTAGAAGAACAGATTTACATGTCTCAACCGGAGGGGTTCTACAGTTCTAAAAGAGACCAGGTATGCTTGTTAAAGAAATCTCTGTATGGCTTGAAGCAATCTCCGAGGCAATGGTACAAGAGATTTGACTCATTCATGGTGTCTAATGGTTATTCTCGTAATCAGTTTGATAACTGTGTTTACTCGAAGAAAGTTTCTATTGATTCCTTTGTGTATCTGTGGTTGTATGTGGATGATATGTTAATTGCAGCTAAAAATATGGCTGTAATTAATGACTTGAAGGCTCTACTAAAGGGTGAGTTTGAGATGAAGGATTTGGGTGCGGCAAAGAAAATACTTGGTATGGAGATCTGGCGTGATAGAGAAGTAAGACGGCTATGGGTTTCTCAAAAAAAGTATATTGAGAAAGTTTTGCAGGCATTCTCTGTTGATCAGTCCAAACCGGTATGTACCCCTTTGGCGGCACACTTTAAACTTGATCGAAGCACTATACCGGCTATAGATGAAGAGGTTAGTTACATAAAGACGGTTCCATATTCAAGTGCAGTTGGAAATCTATGTATGCGATGGTATGTACGAGACGGGATCTCGCTTATGCAGTTAGTGTGGAGAGCAGGTTTATGACTAATCCGGGTAAAGCTCACTGGGGAGCTGTAAAGTGGATCTTGCGACATTTGAAATGAGCGTCTGATATTTGTCTGGTATATGATGATAAAGGCCATGGTGATGGTCTTGTTGGCTATGAAGACTCTGATTACGGGGGTGACTTGGTGAAACGAAGATCACTGACTTGTTTTATCTTCACTCTGTTTGGATGTGCGGTCAGTTGGAAGTCTACTTTACAACCTACGGTTGCATTGTCGACGACTGAGGCGGAATACATGTCAATGACTGAAAGTATTAAGGAGGGTATCTGGTTACATGGTCTGGTGCAGAGTTTTGGTCTGAAGGTGGAAAAACCGGTGTTATTCTGTGATAGTCAAAGTGATTTGAGTTTGGCTAAAAATCCAGTGTATCATGAGAGAACCAAACATATTGATGTAAGGTTGAATTTTATCCGTGATGTTCTGGAAGAAGACAAGTTTTCTATTCAGAAAATAGCTACATAACACAATCCAACTAATATGTTGACAAAGGCGCTACCGACGGAGAAGTTTAAGCACTACTTGAACTTGGTGAGAATATTCGCAGGAGGTAAAGCCCTCTCGGGGCATCTGACAGGAAGGAGACGACTGAAAGATACTGACGAACCTTTGACGGTTGGAGAAACTCCAAGTCAAGTTGGAGATTGTTGAAACGTGACTTGGATTTAGCGGTCTACCCGACCCGAAACCAAAGCGAAGGGGCTGTTTCAATTCGAAGGGTTCCTTTTGGGCTTATCCTAATTAATAACAAATAGGCTTAGGGTTTAGAGTGTTTTGGAGTACTTATAAATAGACGGCTATGGTTCTTAGTCGGATGACATAATTGTAAATCTCTGAATCAGTATAATAAAATCTCTCTGGTTCCTGCCCGTGGACGTAGGTTGACACACCATCATCGAATCACGTAAAACCCTCTGTGTTCTTTATGACCAAATCAAAATACCAAATATTTTGTCCTTTTTTATTTTAAAATTTATAATTTGTTTAATTTTAATTAAATTGTTTAATTATTTTAATTTATAATTATATTTACTATATAATAATTATTTTTATTAATATACTTATTAATTATTTATTAATTATATTTTTTTTAAATTCTTATATCTATATTAATACGGTGATGTCACGTAGGAGGGAGAGATTAATTAATAATAATAATAATATTATTAATAATAATATATGTGAAAATAGAGCAGAAGTTAGTGGTGGAATATTAAATTAATGAAACCGCACGAAAGCGTGCGTTTTATAGTGGAAAGTCCACCGAAATCATCAATGGGAAATAAAGTAGGGGTCAGTGCGGTTTTTCGATATTTTTATTTTATAATAAATAAATAAATTTCAAATGATATTTTACATAAGAGATTAATATATTTTTTTAATGTTGAAAGATAAGAATATCAAATGAATACATTACTTCTATTTTATTTATGGTTGTATTATATGTTATCAATTAATAGCATGTAATAAAAATAATATATATATATATATATATTTTCAATATAAAGATATAACAAATATCTAAATCATAAAACGAATACAGTCCTTCTATTTTGCCTTTAAAATATCCTATTAACTCTTACAGAAATTTCTTATTAAATAAGTGCATATAAGACATTGCATTTATTATTAATTTATCAAAACTTTGATAACATTTATTGAATTTAAAATTAAATATACTAATTTTACATGACAAACATAGATGCATTTAATTTGCTTGTGCGGCTACGATACTCCATTACCCAAATTGAACACTATTTTTATATATTAGGGTATCTTTTTTAAATACTATTTTATATTTAAATATTTGTGAGTAAAAAAATAAATTTTATATTTTATATGTAAAATAAATATGGTGTGTTTATTTGGAATTTGAATTTTGAATTGATATTTGAATAGTAAAAATTTTGAATTTAAATAATTGTATAATGTGATATAAATAAGTATTGATGCAATGTTTTGAATGTAAAATTATTTTTTAATATAATACTCCCTCTGTCCCATAACAAAGTATCCATTTTTCTATTTTAGTCCGTCTCATAACAAAATATCAATTTTATTTTTTAGTAACTGTACTATCTACCTAACATTACAAATACCCTTACAACTTACAATATATTACACAAACGTCATTACTTTTATAACACACATAATAAGGTTATTTTAGTCATTTCTACTTTATTCCTATTATATCCTAATATAATACTAATATTTCTAAAACTACGTGTAAAAAACAGATGAATATTTACTTATGAGACGAGGGGAGTATAAAAAATAAAAAATAGGTGTTTGATTTGATACTTTTTAAAAAAAAAATTGAATAAATAGTATATTTGGGGAAAAATACCCCAAACAAACACACCTGTAGTATATACAAACAATGCAATGGACAATAATATACCAAAAACATATACGTACGGTACAAGCTAAGAAAACACAACCTTAATTTTGATTGGTAATTTTCAAACTCCATTAATATTCATAAAGAGATTTTTGCCTAGAGTTCATTTTTAAAAAGGGTCGTAGCTCCAAAATAATATATATATATATATATATAGGTGGCGGCTATATTTAAAATTCAATATTGTACTGAATAACACATTGTGTTCTATTAGACAGTACATAATATTAATACAAACAATACAATGTATATATTAATATAATACAAATATAACACATGAACAAAATACATATGTTATAGTTTCAACAACACACAATATTATTACAAACAGCAACCAGCAAACAGTAATACTACAGAAAACACGTTGTATATGTTAATATAATACATAATTTTGTTTACAAAATATCACATCAAAATATTATATTCTCTATTTTCAAAAGATAGGCTCATTGACGTTGGCCAAATGATTTAAAATAATAATAATATTATATCAAAAATAGATATAAAATAAATATCTAAATAACAAAAATGTTATTCTGGGACAGACGAAAATTAAAAAAATAGAATTATTATGTTGGGACAGAGAGTATAGATCAAACTCAATTTTAGGTAAAAAAATAGGGGTATTTTAATATTGGTGTATAATTATTCTTTTGTAAAATAAAAAAATATTTTAAAATAATATAGACAAAAATAGTAAAAAAAATATTTTGAATAGGGACTAATGAATAATTTATTAGAATTATTTTTATTAGTAAGAAAAACTTGGGATTAGAAATTATTGGCCACCTAAGCCATGCACGATGACGTATAGACTGTAGGCATACATTCTGTTTATATATCTCTATATATATATAGAGAGAGAGGATTCCAATTTCACAGTCACTCCAGCAAAACAATTCTCCGACATTCCCTCCACCTCCGGCGCCGCCGTCCGCCGCCATGGGCTTCTACTACCACGTCATCCGTCTACCGGAAAACATCGCCGCCGTCAATCTCTTCCTCAATATTCTCACCCACGTCCGACTCCTCTTGACCGCTGCCCTGACAGATCTCGGCCTCTACAAGCCACCTCCGGCGCCGGTGCCGGCGGAGGAGGAAGAGCCTTACATCCTAATCCTGAACCGGTCGTCTCCTTCCCTGGTTCCCGTGCCGGTCCGAGTCGTCACGGCCGCCATCAAGGCCGGAGTTCCGGTTCTCCGGTACGGCGATTCCGTCCGCCGGCGAGGGGCGGAAGCGGGCGGCGCGGCGGCGTGCAGTATCTGTTTAGAGTGTATAGAATGGACGGACGAGATTAGAGAGCTGATGATCTGTAGCCATCCGTTCCATCGGGCGTGTTTGGACCGTTGGATTGACGCGGGACAGGTGAATTGCCCTTTGTGTAGGGCCATGTTGTTGCCTCCCAAAATTACCCCTTCTATTAAATGTACCCAACAATGTCAAGTTTGATTATTATTCGAATGATATTTGTCCAAAATATTTGTCTGTTCAAATAAATCATAGGGTTCTTTTTTTTTTTTTTTCAAATTAAAATTATTAATTTGTATACTTTTCTATAAATATATATATTCACAAAATATTACTATTAAGTTTATATAGTGTGACTTGTATCGTTAGCCCTAGTTTGTAAGCTATTAAATTTTATGAACAATTTACCTAAATTACACTGTGTTATCAAAAAACTATATATATATATATTATTACTATTTAAATAAAAATTCAAATCAACTTTTTATTTCAAATCAGTTTCAACTCACAACAAAATAAATTATATGTATATAACTTTAGTAAGTTTGAATGTATATTATGGGTGTGTTTGTTTGGAAGTTTGGATTTTGAGTTGAGATTTGAATAGTAAAAATTTTGAATTTGGATAATTGTATGATTTGATATAAATAGATATTGATGCGATGTTTTGAATATAAAATTAATTTTTAATATAATATAAAAAAATGAAAAATAAGTGTTTAATTTAATTTTTTTAAAAAAAAATAAAAATTGAATAAATAATGTATTAGGGGAGGAGAAAATCCCCAAACAAACACACCCATACATGTTTACATTAATGTATATATACAGCAATTTTATGTCCAATTAAAATGCAAGGATATATATATATATATCCACACATATAGAAAAAAAAAAATTATTATTTTGTATTTTATGTATGGACAAAATAATAACTTTATAATGATATTAATGTAATTTTTTTTTATTAAAACCAGTATAAGAAATATATAACCTCATAAACTAGGCTACGTTCTTTCAACATTATTTTTTACAAAAATAATAAAAAAAATATTCAAATATTTTTGCAAAAATTTTAAAAAGTCAAATATTCAATTTAAAGTTAATATATCATATATTTTTTTACACAATTTTCATAATACACATAAAAAATCAATCCATATAAAAATATTGTATGAACAATACATAATTAGATAAAAATATATACTTTTACTAAATACTATATCCGTTCCAAAACAATTGATCTATTTCATCAGTGATACAGTATTTAAAGAAATAAATAATCATTTGATTTTATTTATATAAATAAATATTAATATATAAAGTAAAAAAATATAAATGTTATTTGATATTTGAAAATTTATTAATTTTTTTTTTTAAAAAAAAAAACCACAAGGAATGGCAACTTAAAATTTGGGCTATTTTTAATACTATTGTAGACTACTATGTAAATGTTTGATCCAAGACCCGACTCCATTTCCATGACCCATTTGGGCCTATTTTATTACCAGCCTAACCTATAATTTGAATCTACCTTTTGGATTACTTCAAGATTGGACTAAAGCCTAACTACCAAATTTATAAGGTTGTTTATATCTTTTAATTTAAATACTTCATCCGTCCCAATACAATAATTTTATTTACTATTTTTATCCGTCCCAAAATATATTTTTATAAAAAATCATATCATTATATAATTATCATTACTCTTTCATTATTATTACACAATTGTCACTACCTTTTACACTAATATACTTACAAAGACAAAAATGTCTTTTACCTATATTTTTTTACCCACTATTCAACACAACTAAGACTATAGCTTCGGGACGGAGGGAGTATTACTATTTCGAAAGTTTAAACCCATAACCTTATGGTCATAAATTCATTCATACACCACTAGTCCATCTAACTTTGAAATAATTTCTTTAGCGCATACGATTGTGGATGTGATGAGCAATCAATAAAATAAAATAAAATAAAAAATCATATATTACAATTAACAAGTTATAATCTAATTTGTTTCTAACTTTGTTTACATATATATATATAATTTTGTTTAATAGTAATTTTAAGTTTTTTGATATTATTCAAAAATTAGTTAAGCAGAGCATATTTAAAACTAACGGGTACAAATTCCACGTCATTATTAAAACAGGGCTATATAATAAATAAATAAATCAATAAAATTGAGACAAACAATTTAAAAAAGCTTCACTCCCATGGGGCCACCTTTCTCTTACAATTAAGAGTCAAAATCAGGAAACTCAAAATAGTAGTCAAAGTCAAACTAACCTTAATAATAGTAACAATTAATATTCTCCGTCACCACCGAGGCGCCACAAAATTGGCCGCAAATTATCCTTCACTTCACACTTACACGCAATCTCCACTTCCATTAATTATTTTTCTTTTTTTCAACTAAGAGTTTTAAATATTATATTCTTAATATATAATTTAAAAATATATTAATACAAATAATTGTAACATATTTTTTTTTAAAAAAAAAATAAAATTAAATAATTTAATAATTTAATTACAAATTATATAAACGAAAATAGAAAGAGACACAAAAAATATTATTTTTAATTAATTTTTAAGAAAAATTTTATAAGGGTGTATTTACTTGTGACGTTGTGATTTTTGATTTTGATTTTGAATAATAAAATTTTGAATTGAAATAATTGTTTGATGTGATATAAATATATGTTGATATAATATTTTACATGTAAAATTAAATTTTAGTATAATAAAATAAATAAAAATTAAATATTTGATTTAATATTTTTGAAAAAAAAATTATATATATAATAGTAAAATTTTACCAATAAAGAGAGCCATAATTTTTTTAATAAAATATTACATTAAATATTGCAAGTCTTTATTATTTCTAAATTTTTAAAATTTATCCAAAGTCTCCGACTTTTGACAGATATTTACCCTCATCTATTCCTTTCCCGCCGCTCCTCCGTCGGCAACCACCGCAGTAAATGCGGGAGAGGTAAATCGAACATCTACAGAAGCTGTTAAGCTACCAAACGCGGTGCAGTAAATTCATGGACTAAGAAATTCCAACCTGTGGGGCCAAATTCTGCCCAATCGCTGCTTCACAGTTCATCGCACAGTCAGATCGCCATCGTCCTTATCCGAAATTCGTCTGTCTGTGGATTTTCGTCGCGTATTTCACTAGTTCGTGATTAATTAAAGCTACGATAAGATAGATAAACGATGGATCTTAATTTTTTACTGGATGCTGATGACCTCCTTATCCATTGATGAATTTATCTATTTGTTTTTCCTCTACTGCTGCTGCTGCTGCTGTTGTTGTTTCTTCTTCCGCTGCTTAATTTTAAATTCAGGGGGCTAGGGATTCGGTCCCGAATCCCTCTCTAAACCCTCGACCAATCGACGCGCTTACAGGCTGAGTCTCAATCCGATTGAACCGAGGGTTTTTGGTGCTCTAGAGCGGCTTTCGTCGTCTATGGCTCTGGTTTCGGCTTTTCTCGAGGTGTTGAATCGGCCGACGGTTGGGGATGTGATGCTTGGGCTGATGGCGTTCATGGCGCCTCTATGGATGGCGGTTGTGGTAGGGGTACTGATAGGTTGGGTGTGGAAGCCTAGATGGGCGAAGCTGAATGTGGATTTTCTAGATTGTTCTATGATTAAAGGTGAGTCGAGCAAATCCATGGCGATGCTGTCTCAGGTCGCAGCTTCGTTCCCAAATTTGAGCTCGTTGAAGCTGCAAGTACCTTCCTGTATTTCTAGGGTTTCTGATTTGGGGGCTGAGATGGAGAAGGAGAGTTCATCCTTGCCTTCAATTTCAAGTACTGATCGTAGGTTAGCTGCACATAATTTGATCCTTCTCTATTAAAATTCTGTTTTTAGATTCACAATTATTGAATTCACTGTGAATACTTTGTTTTTGTTGTTGTTGATAGAATGTTTGTCTATAATTTGAAAGATTATCGGGACATTGTTAGATTTCTTTTGTGATAGAATTGAAACTATTTTGGAATGATTTCAAATAGCTTTCAATTCCTCATTAGTGATAATTGAGACAGATGATTTCAAATTCTTTTGTGATAGAATTGAAACAATTTAGGAACGATTTCGAATAGCTTCCTATGCCACATTAGTGAAATTGAGACTGCCTTTTGTAGTGAGGATCTTGTGAATGTGTGTGATCTCAAACATTTGCATAAACTAGTCGAAGGGAGAGATGGCGGCCCGGATTGGGTGCGGATGATGGATAAATCAACAGAAAATATGCACTATCAAGCTTGGAGGAGAGATCCCGCGGTAATTTTATCTTTGGAATGAGCTTAATTTGCATTAGTTTCTGATGATTACTGGGCTATGCTTAACTAACTGATTGCTGCAATCTTCGACTTATTTAGACCGGACCGCCTCAATATCGAAGTCGATCTGTTTATGAAGATGCTACGCCAGAAATGTTGAGGGATTTTTTTTGGGACGATGAGTTTAGATTGAAATGGGATGATATGCTTGTGCATGCGGAAACTCTGAAGGAATGCCCTGTCACGGGGACAATGATGGTTCGGTGGGTACGGAAGGTAGGGAGACTTTTTTATTTTTATTGTCGACATTTTGGTTGAATTTGTTTTGTTGGTGATGGAAATGTGATTGCATTGTTGTGTCTTGGTACAGTTTCCGTTCTTTTGTAGCGACAGAGAATACATAATTGGCCGAAGGATTTGGAAATGCGGGCAATCGTTTTACTGTGTGACAAAGGTGAGATACATGAAGGGATTATTACTGTCCATTAGTTGAGACTTCTTGTTGATAAAATTTTAGCTTGTTACTTGTTGTCGAAGGAGTAAATCGTATTGAAATATGATTTAGAGTTGTTCTAGTATTGTAAGATTTACATGTAATTTTTATTCGTTGTTTTTGCATCATTTGAGACGACGAGATTTTTCATTTTTTTTTTTTCCTTCCCTAGGGTGTGCTGTGCTCTTCGGTACCTCGCCTCAGCAAGCCAAGGCGAGTTGATTCGTATTATTCTAGCTGGTGCATTCGCGCAGGTATGAGTTTATTTCCCTTAACATTGTATACTAAAACCATGACATTTGTTATAGTGCGGAAATTAAATATTCAGCACTGTACTGATAATACATCCAATATGGATATATAATATATGAATCATAAGTTAGCATGATATACTACCAATGATTTCAACAGCTAAAAAATATACATTTACTTTTGCACGTAGTTTAAGAAATAATACTTCCTCCATCATCTAAACTATGGCCATTTGTCCATGCATGAGTTTTAAGAAAAGTGAGTAAAAATATAAATTTTTTCCTTTTAGAGTAAGGGAAAAGTAAAAAATGTAGCATGGAAAGTGGATATAAAAAGTTAGATATTTAGATTACGGAGTGAGTAGTATTTTAATTGTAGTGAATAGTAAAAAATAATATAAAGACAATTTGGCTTTGTTTTTTTTTGTGTAAAAATAACGATGTGATGGTAAAGTATGAATATTTGTAGAAAAGTGAGGTATTCTTGAAATAATTTCTTTCTAATTGAACTAGCAAAAATAGATATGTATATGCTTTGTAAATTGACGGAAATAGTATGTTATATATTCATATAACACACTTATAAATTATAAACTTTTCAGCGGATGTTTTCAATTAACACAGTATATGTTGCATTAATTGAAATGATGAATTCTCTATCTATCTTCTATGTGCTCATCAGCCCCTATAATATTTCCCCAAAACCATTGAACTTCAAGTATTGTGTCTGTTTGTGATAATGTGATTTTTGTGAATTTTAGTTGAATCGAAGAGAGACGGGCGAGAGACTGCATGCGAGGTTCTACTCTTCCACCACGAAGACATGGGGATCCCTTGGGAAATCGCGAAATTCGGCGTCTGGAAAGGCATGTGGGGCGCTGTCAAAAAAATCGACCCGGGTTTACGTGCCTACCAAGAACTCCGGGCTTCGATGGCCCCGATATCTCCCAGCGCTAAAGCAGCTCAAATCAACACTAAAATGGACGTCGACTCACTAGACACTGCAGCAGCCCCCGAAGCCACTAATGATTCCAAACATATTGTGGATTCTCCGTCGGGACGAGCCATCCCAAAGATCCTTATCGTTGCCGGGGCTGTTGCTGCTGCATATACTCTTGACCGTGGACTCCTGACAAAAGGATTTGTATTTGCGGTTGCGAGAAGGTTTGTGGGAGCCGGGAGGGGGTTGTGATTGGTGAATTTTGGCATCTTTTGGATGATTTGAGATTGAGTTAGTTGCGTTGGAACGTGAGAAGACGATGACGAACTGATCTGATTGGATTGATGATTTTACGACACGACGATGAGGTGTAAGTGTCGGAGGAAATAACCCACACCCTAAAGGTGATGTTCTATTCAATTTATTTGTTGTTTGGTGAACTGATCAATGATCGTTGTCTTAGCTTTGTTAATGTTGTTGTTTGTCCTAGAACTAACTCTACTTGATACAAGTTTCAATCATTTTGAGGATCTGATTTTTCTTGTTCAAATGTCGTAGATTTACACAGCATATGAATCTTTGCGTGGATGCTGATAAATAGGGATGGGGGGACTAGAATAAGGAACGTCTCGCTTTGGGATGATTATCTAATATGATATCCCTTCAAGCGAGCGTTAGAGTTCGAGTTCGAGTTCCATTGTTCTTCATTCATCATCCTTTTTGTTTAAGAATATACTTTAATTCAAATTTTTATAGCATTAGTTGTGTTCAAGGCTGTTTTGTGAGATAAAGATATATATTTTTTAGAAAATGTAAATACGTAGTGTAGCAACCAATTTTCATATATAAATTTGCCTCCGTTTTTTTCCCCAATAACAAGATAATCTTCTTCAATAATCATGATCAAAATGTTACCATTATAAATATTGAAAAAACTATTATTTCATGTCACTTTTATAATTTTGATATTGTGAAATTTTATTGAATATATATAGGCACATTGCAATAAATATTCTATTTTATCGGAGTAGTTAGAATGTTGAATTGGGATTAGTGAATATATATTCGGGTTTGTTCTTCACAATTATTCATAAATATATTTTTTTTAAAAAATATATATTTATTATTTTATATTACATATATATAATTTTCTATATCTAAACGTAATAAAAATATATATATATATATTTTTTCATCAAACTTCAATAGACAAACAAACCCTATGTCTTTTCAACGTAAGTAACACTAACAGTTGCCTTATCAAATATACAGTACAGCATCTAATTGTCCTAATGTTTACGCACTTTTGATAGCAATGCGATTTCACGTCATAAAAAAAATAAAAATATATAGTACAATATCTAATTGTCTTTAACATTCTATAACTATTAGCTTAATATTTTATTTAAATATAAACTTAATAAATCCTTTATCGGATCTATTAAATTTAAATAATTCACTTGTCTTTTGCTTCAATTTTTTTTTTTTTAAAAAAAAAAAACAATAAAAATATCACAAGCTTATTTACGATTTTTTAAAAAAATATCGAAAAGGAGCCATGTAAAAATAAAAACAAAAAACAAAGTAAAGTGAAAGGAACAAAGTAGATAAAATACCTGGAAGCTCCAGGACCTCGCGCCATTGCCCTATAGCAGACTGACTTCGATGGAGCCGGACACCCTGGTGCTCCCAAATGTCACCTGAAAGAAGAGAATTTAAGAGTCAGAGACATGGAGGTTCACCGCCATTGTCGTACCTGCGAAGCTCAGACAGTTCTTTTTCCCCATTGCCATGGAGTTCTTCTACTCGACGCCCCTGCAGTTCCTCCTCTCCGGTAACGTCTTTTTTTTAATTTCTCACTTTCAACAACAATAATTAAATTAACACGCTTTCAGTTGTCAGTGTAGCTTACTGCATGCTTTGTAACCGCAGCGTCCTTGCTTTGTACGACGTCGTTTTCCATCGGAATCAACTACGGCCAGATCGGCGACAACCTCCCCAGCCCGGCGGCGGTGGTGCCGCTCGTCAAATCCATCGGCGCCACCAAAATCAAGCTCTACGACGCCGATCCGCGCGTGCTCAAGGCGTTCGGTAACTCCGGCGTGGAGTTCATCGTCGGCGTCGGAAACGAGAATTTAGCGAGGATGAAGGACTCCAAGCAAGCCCTAGCCTGGATTAAATCCAACGTTCAATGCTACTTGCCGGCGACGAAAATCACCTCCATTGCCGTCGGAAACGAGGTTCTGACGTTCAACGACTCCGCTCTCTCCCGCAACCTTCTCCCCGCCATGGAAAGCATCCACTCTGCGCTCGTCACTCTCAACCTCGACAGGCAAGTGGCGGTTACGACGGCTCACAATTTAGCGATTCTAGAAGTTTCTTACCCTCCCTCCGCCGGCGAATTCCGCCGAGATCTGACTCAGAAGCTCTACAGTATCCTCGATTTTCACTGCAAAGTCGGTTCTCCGTTCCTAATCAACGCGTATCCTTTCTTCGCCTACAAGGCGAATCCGAAGCAAGTCTCTCTGGATTACGTCCTGTTCGAGTCCGATTCGGCGACTGTGGATCAAGCTTCGGGATTACGCTACGACAACATGTTCTACGCCCAAATCGACGCCGCCTATTCCGCCATCGAGAAGCTAGGGTACAGGAACATCGGTTTGCAGATCTCCGAAACCGGTTGGCCGTCGAAAGGAGACGCCGACGAGGCAGGAGCAACGCCGGAAAACGCGAGGAAGTACAACGGCAACCTGATGAAACTACTTTCCGAGAAGAAGGGGACGCCGATGAGGCCTAACACCGATTTGAACGTATATGTTTTCGCTTTATTCAACGAGAATCAGAAGCCAGGGCCGACGTCGGAGAGGAATTTCGGGCTATTCAAGCCCGACGGAACGCCGGTGTACAATCTAGGGTTCAATTCAACAGGCCTGATCAGTACGAACACGTCGATCCCAGTCTCCGGCGCGGCTGCTCCACCACCGCCAGCGGCGGAGACAGGAATCACTTCCGATGGCTATTTATCCATTACTTCAGCAGAATCGGTGAGGATTAACTTCTCCCTCACTCCTTTATAGAATTTCCTGCTTTTATTAGCCTAGAACCTTCTTGTTTGTGCCAATAATGAGAAAGGTTAACTACATTGAAGCCATTATTAACATTCTTTTGATTCAATCATAACACACCATTGATTTGGAGGTATTTTAATGTCTTGTGTGAATTTGCAGGAGAGAGTTGGTTTCACAGCGGCACTGCCTTTTCTGTGCTTCCTAATGGCGTCAGCCATTGTAGCATTTTAAGGTTCTGCCAAGAGGGAAATGGGAATCAATCAAATCATCTACAAAGAATAATTTCAAATGGAAAAAGAGGAGCCAGAGATAGGGAGAGAGAAACAGACATCTTGAGAGTTGAGTAAAGGTGAAATTCCATTGCTTTTCATCTCCATCCAACCTCTCTTTCTCTCTCTAGAACCACCATAATCAACTGAACTGATCTAAAAACTAAAACCCTGCTGCAATTTTGAAACTGGGAATATGATACTGATGTATGGAATGGAATCCTATATCCATTCATCCATCCATTCTTTAGTCTCTTTTAGGCTGGCATTGTAATGCTTTTTTGCTCACTTTGTGGTTTTGTCTCGACTGTGAGTGTAAAAAGCAAGAATGCACATGTTGGGTCTAGGCTAGGCTAGATTAGATTCAGATTTTTATGATATACTAATAATTATTGTTATACAATTTGGGGATCTTGGCATTATTGTTTTGAAATGATATTTATTGGAATCACATGATTTCTAGCCAGAGTTTGGTTGATTGATTTGAAATGATACTTTCTTGGGCCTTTCTATCTCCCGTACATAAATTAAAAATTAAACAGAGACAAAAATAAGCGCAATTTGAAGGCCCTATCCGAACATAGCACAAAAAATCAAAAATTTTTAAGTCATACCTGACTCGGCACAGTAATGAACCCGAGGTGTGTCCAAAAACTCATATCTGACTCGGCACAGTAATGAACCTGAGCTGTGTCCAAACTTATATCTGACTCGGCACAGTAATGAACCCGAGCTGTGTCCAAAAACTCATATCTGACTCGGCACAGTAATGAACCTGAGCTGTGTCCAAACTTATATCTGACTCGGCACGCTAGTGAACCCGAGCTGTGCCCAAACTCATAAAGATCGGCCTCGGCAGGTTCTTAAAATTAATATTTAAATTTTAATAATTTTATATACTCCCTTTCTCTTCCAAGAAGTTATTGATTTTTTGTATGTTAATCTTTAAATATTTATTTTTATAATAAAAAAAAGAGATAAATATATTACGCAAAAATCAAATAACAACCTTTTTGCGGAACTGAGAAAGTATTAATTATCAAAATGAAGACAAATTAAAACATAATTTGATGGTAAAATTCTTGACTTATACATATTTGATTGTAGGTTCAATTCAACTATTTCAAACCGGGTCATGCTCGGACCTACTTTTTCAAACCCAATTCGCAATCGGGCCGGGCCAGCACAAAAAACCGGCCCAACCCGAATTATAACCTGCAGATGAATACACAGAAAGCAAAAGAAATACAACACTCAAGAGCAGTCTGTTAGTTCCATCAGTTTGAAGGAATTACACATTCTAAAAATACATCTGCACCAATAATAATATCATATATCCTTCTTCCTATATCGAACATCTCTCTCTAAAATCACACAGCTTGTCTAATCTCATGATACAGAGATATATTACACAGACACAACACACAATCACCAAGCGTCAAACTACCCGACATATATGTACAAACTGCATTTGATTTTAACACAAGATAATAAAACTAACTTGTTGGTGGATCAAAGCAAAGCTTCTTACAGAAAAGGCAGGTCGACAGTAACCATCATCACACATCATCCGAGCTAGCCGAGGCCTCGCTCCCGCCCACGGATGTCCCGCCACCGCCCTGTATTTCTTCCTCACTTGACGTACTATCTTCGCTAGTGTCAGAATAGGATTCACTTTCGTCGTCGCTAATGACTTCGGCCCTACGCCTCCTCCTAACGACGCGCCTCCCCTGTAAAGCAAGTCGCCGGCGCTTTCTGGCTTTTCGCTTTCCTTTGGGAAATTCTTCCTGCTGCGACTCGAAACTCTTACTCCCGATATCCTTAGAATTTTTCACCCTGTTGTCTTCGTCATCCTGTGACTCAATACTCAGAGAATCAGTGTCAAGTTGGCGCCGCTTTCTACTTGCGCTGGTCTGGAACAGAATTATCCACATATTTAGTTGATGAGACAGTTTCAAACAAGAAAAGAAATTGATTGCCTTCCAAGTTCATCACATAAGTATTTGAAAACAACAAACTGTTTATGCCGGGAGAACACCACCGCACACACCGTATTGGCATATGCCTATGTGTGTGTAAAAAGAAAACTTGTGTATCACTATTTTTTGAGCACACACTATGGAAACAGGACAATTGACTAGAGCCACCGCAAATGAAACACATCTCAGCTGCATTTTATCAAATAGTGCAAATGGTGTAATAGCATAAGTTATATACTACGCAAATATACAAAAACAAACAAGCATCAAAAAAATTTGGCCTAAAATTACAATGTATTTTCTATGTTACTGGTGAAGATATAATACTTCAATAATTATTTTCAGGAGTTACAAAAAATAAAAAATCACTACTGCTGTAAGTATGTTATACAATTACCAAATCTAGAAATATCATTAGGAGAAAAAATAAATGTGGGAGGGTTAGTAAAAATAGGAGAAGTGACAGAGAGACAGAAATGAAAGAAGATTTGTTGAAACGGAACATTCACCGGACGGAGTGGCCAATGGGTCACACTAGGGAAATAAACCAACAAGAAAATTGGGGAAACAGCTGCTCCAAAGAGAAGGGCTTTATTCATCTTCATCTAATGGGGAAAAATATAAACCAGGGCATGTCTTTCAGGGTGCTTGCATAAATAGATTTGACACTAAGCAGCTCCTTAATCCGGGTGCACACCATAGCTATGAATGCAGTAAAGGTCGCGACAGGGAAGATATATATAATTTTTAATTATTCGATTGTGGGTGAAATTGCAATAAATCTCATTCAAAGAACATCCAAAACACTTAGGGCATTACCAGATGATCTTTGAATTTTAGCTAAACACTAAGCTATTTGTCACCTGAAAACCCAAGAAATGTTGCTCATAGGCCATAGTCTACCTTCCTGGTTTTCAATCCAACTGGTTGATGTCAGGTGTGAGTTGTCAGGCTTGTTAGAGTAATACATTTCCCTGTTTACAGCTCTTAAATATTTGGATGCTATTATCACAAATATAATCTCAACTTCTAACAAGTTCAAATCTAGTAAAAGGTAAGGTATTATAGAAAAACTTATAAGCATCATCTATCACCTGGCAATGCTTGAGTAACTTGTGCTAAAAGTATTAACAAGAGCTAAAAGAGACTCACACTAACATTTGAAATTGAAATTGAAAAACCGTGCTGTTAGCTTCAAAAAAAATGAGATTGGGGTAGGAAATGGATGCAGGAAAGTACCTTGGGGCCACGGTCAACCAAACGAGCCCATTCACTTCGGTTCCTCAGGCAATCAAGAACAGCCTGAGAGTGACTTGAATATGCATATCGTTCACCATTATGCTTCCTCAAGTGTGGCCAATGCTGTAATACATACAAGAGAGGAACTTATAAAATTGAATGAAACGACCAAAGGAAATGAAAGAAACAGCTACTGTTTCTTTAGCATGCAAGGAAAAAACTGTAACAATCATTAATATGTACAAGTAAACTCACCGGCAAAACTGCATTACAGAGTTCTTCATATGTCATGCGTTTGCCTTCACTCATAATCTCAGCAATCAAACCTATGAAGCATAAAAATTCCCACTAAGGAACCACCAACCATGGAATAGCAACGTACATTAATAACCAAATCAAGAGATTTTGGAAGGCAGGCACAAACCTGGTAAAGTCCGATGTGTTTGGCGCCCACCTATTTGTGGATCATCATCAGAGACATTCCTAGATGATGGACGAGTGGATGTTCCATTGTGTCCATTGGCATCACTAGATGTAGATCGAGAGCTTCCCAAATTAGTTTTCTTCATGGACTGCACGCTTTTAACCTGAACACCATCTGCTTCCCTCCTGGAAAGTGGATCTATACTACAACCAGAATCTTGCCTCCTGCTGTCAGGCAAAGAAGGTTTTCTCTCTTTCTTAGTTTCATTGCTAGCCTCTAGAGAACCATGTGAAGTTTCTCCATTAAAATCCTTAGCTCTCCTTCTAGACGACTGAACAAATCACAAAGTTTTAGGAAAAATAACCATTACTAATAAGTCTAACCAAAACAATCAAAAAGGCAACGAGGTAAGTAGAAAGAATACCATGCTATGATCTTTTGTACCACCACTACTTGTCCGCTTCATCAACATACTTGTTGCAGTCGAACATGCTAGTTGAGGTAAACTCCCAGCATGACGCATTCGTGGGACCCTAGGAACTCTTGGAGAACTATTGAGTTCTTGATGTAGAAGTAAAGCAAGCTGCAGGTTATAGCATAGCATGAGTAATTAAAAATAATATCCAATAAATTTGGACAAGAAGGTAAGAGTTATTGCTTTATAGTTTATACCTCTTCATCACTCAATGTTGAAGGAACATTTGACCCTCCTGGAGCAGTCACCACATTCCCTCTAGATGATGAGTTATTAGACTGATGATGCTTTTCACTTTTTCCTGGTACAGCTGGCGCAGCCACCTTATTCTGTACATTTGAAGGACCCTCAGCCTGTGGATTCGTAGAGTCACCAGAATGATGATTGGAGGCCACATTTGTCACTGACAGACCTTTGGAAGAAGAATGAATGCCAGGATCCTTTGAATCAGATGGCGGTTTCTTGGAATCAGACGAGTGGGACAATTTAGCTGATGCTGATACTTTTGAGAGTGAATTCAACCTCGATGATTCTTTTACTAATTTCTTTGTCCTACCGCTTTTTTTGTCATGCTCTGTAGAATCAGGCGCAGCATTGTTTTTCACACTTCCCACATTGTTTTCAGACAAATCCTTCTGTCTTCTGAGTATAGACGTATTTTGAGAAGTTGTAACCATGCGATCCGGGGGTTTGGGCACTACATCACCAGATGTTGAAGTAGGTTTCACCACAGATACCACAGCTTTACGGCGATAAGAAGCTGTTGAGTAATTTTTGGCTGTGCTATCAGATTTAAGCAACTCATCAGCCGCATCCGAACTATGTTTCAGTCCAGAAGATCTTTTCTTTGCTACCATTGCACCTCCTGAAGAAACAGGTTCTCGCTTACTCGGCATGTCATCAGATTTATCTGCTCTGGAACTACCAACACTTGGACCCCTGATTGCAGCAATCACCTTCCTTTCTGTTGCTTCTGAATTGACTGCAGATGCCTCAATCACTTTAGTCTCATCAAGTAAAATATCAACAGAAGATTCAGGGTACTGAGGGGTCACTTTGATAGCATCTAACTTCACATCATTCAAAGGCTGTGCTTTTTGACGCCCATGATCATCAGAACCCAACTCTCCTTTTAATTTCTTATTTGGCTGGGAATTTGCCTCATCAGTGTCTGAATCTTTCCCATCTTGACTTTCTTTGCCATCTGGAGCAGCAATCGTAGCTTCCGGATCCACAAGCTCTTTGTCATGTGAGTCGATTTCTACACTTCTGATGCCTGCCTCAGCAACATCTTCAGGGACCTAATAAAACATTTAAAATTACCAGAAGAAGCCATTAAACAACAATTATCTAACCATGCAGATTCATTAATGCAACTATCAGATGATGATCGCATTAAAGTATCCAACCAACACCTTCATAAATGAGTGCGAGCGAGAAAGAGATATTAATGATAGGAGACACGAGACTTTCAGTGATAATCAACTACAGTACATCCCATTTTATTGGTGAAAAAGAAATACTGCACTTAGATTTACAAATATCTTGTTGAACAACAAAACATGTTCACTATGATTCTTGTGAAGAAGATCCAGTCTCCTGACATAATCTCTTTCACTGCTAGGAACACAACAAAACAATAAATATACAAAGCAACAAGATGGGTGACTTTCATAAGAACTAGACCTCTTAATAGAAAAAATGGGTAATTTCACAACACATTAAGGTACTGATAGAACCTGAATCTTAGTAACAGATAGTGTTTAAAATCCTACTAAAAAAGCAAATAAAGTAAAGCTGCCACCCCTGCATAAGCAACAATTTCTCTTCTTTCATGCTCAGGAAGTTATGGTCAGTATCTACAGATGATAACGAGAGAAGGTACCGAAATTCAACTAGCAGCTAAATATGTCACAAAATTGCTACATAAATGAGGGTGTCCAAAAGAATATATTCGCAATGGCCTTCAACAACAAACTCAGATTCATGATTCTGTTAGCTTATGTCTTAAACAATCACCCAGACAGTAATCTTCTCACTTTTCTGTGACTTCAAAATCTACCCTATGACAAAAGTACAAAACTAGGATGACATACCAGGTAACGTCAATAATACTATATCTTAGAACACTAACATATCAACAGCTAACCATGTTAATGCCTTGAACTGCCATTTCAAAAACCTTCAATATTGAATTCAGGTATAGGACAGAAGTTTGTAAAGCACAAAACTTTATACGAAGAAACTTTGGGATGAGACCCATGTATACACTCACCTCTTCTTTCATTGTCAAGTTCTGCGGGTGGGAATCACTTGTTTCTTTTATTGGTTCCAGGGCATTACTGGTTTTAGAAGCCTCAGATCCCAAAGGAGTTTGTCCCAAGATTTTTTGCCTAGATATGCCTTCACTTGAAACATCATTCCTGAGGGTGGCCTCCGCACCATGATCCTTTGAAGCTAAGTTTGTAGCACATTCACCAAGACTGTCTGATAGTTGATCGCCGGGAAGCTCCTTGCCACTGGGAGTATCATCTCTGGCTGCCTTGGAGCCTCTGTCTTGAGAAAAGTTCAAATGTTTCGCATCACTTGAGAATGTTGAAGCTAGTACTAAGATAGAGAAACAAAATGTATGGTCAGCAACTTAGCATAAACACGTTTCACACATAAGTTCCACCATGATTGTTTCAATCAATTCACCAAGGTAACAACAACAACCGTTTTACTGCCAATTTGAAAAAACCAGAATACATAAAAACAAAAAAAAAAAAAAAAGTGTGTGTATCAATCACCTGCTTCAGAACCATGAGTTGCCCTCTTACTAAGACCTCCCTCTTTCTCAACAGTCCTTACCTTTTTCTTTACATGTTGATCCTTTGACACTCCATGCTTCTCCTCCTTCTTCCGCTTTCCAGTGTGCAACACAATCCGTACGGTACCACTCTCTTTCTTTACGCCCTCTTCTGGGGACTCAGTAACTGGTTTTTGACCATCGGACTTCTTCTGAGTCGGAGATAACGCCTCCTCGAACCCACCTCCTTCAACCGGGCTTTTCACACCAACAGGATTCGCTACAGGAGACGACACTGTATTTTCATTCACCTTCAACAAAGAGAACAAAACTCCGGCGCCATTATCATCTTGGCTGCCATTTTCTTGAGCATTTGAATTACCGGCATCCTCTTTCTTTTCCTCGACCTTACCACCAGGATCTAAATGCGCGAATTCATCATATCTAAAATTAAACTTCTTGGGAACATAACCAGTAGACTTCCACAACTCAGGCCCGAAAACAGAAGACAATTTAACGCCGGAAAATAGCCCCGGTTCGCCGCCAGGAACCCCTTGAACGTGAACCCTCTCCTCCATCGGAAAATCAGTCCACAGCCGGAATGGCCTCCTCGCCGAGACAGTGGCTGGATTAGGGTTATCCATCAGCGTTTTGGTAGGCAACTCGACGAGAAACTCCGCCACCTCTGTCTCCTCGCTATCATTCCTAACGCCGCCGCCGCCGTTGGCACTGCTCTTGCTCTTGCAGCTATCACAGGCAAAAGATTTATCGCTTTTGACGTAACGCACGCATCGCGTGTGCACCCACACACCGCACTCATCGCAATCCACCATCTCCTCGCCATCGTCAAAATTGACGCCGCAGATGCAATCCACCGTCCACGAACCGTCGACCCAGTCGTCATGGCGGGGCTCCGACACCTGAAGCCGATGCGAGCGGCTCCTCATTTCTGGCTTAAACCTCTAAACCTAATATGGAAATCGTATGAAACCCTAATTCTCATAACTATATATATAGCCCTAATATGGCCAAATAGCTTCTGCAGACATCCATCAATCAAAACCACAAACCCCCGACCCTAACCCTAACCCCAGATTGAGAATTGAAGCAAGAAGTGGTTGAATTTGGCGGATACAGACAGATTATTTGAGAATTACAGATAGAGGGAGTGGGAGTGCTTGGTTTGGTTGAGAGTTGAGAAGGAGGAGGAAAGCGGATTTGAGAGCGCAGATTGAAATTGGGTTTGGGAAATAGAGTCACGTCCGCGGCGTTCTGCTGCGGGTGGCTTTAGCGTGTCACCCAAAACAAATCTATCTTGACCCGATTTGTGCATCCGGATCATCCGACTTGCGGGTTATTAAATTCAGAAACAAAATTGCTTATAATTCATTGATATATTTTTTTTTTCCTGTCATATTTCCTCCTGATTTCCGTATGGTAACTCCTATTCTAAAAAATATAATACAAAATTTACAAAAGAATTGCATGAAATATCTTTTTATTTTTTAAAATATTATATAAAATCTTTTTTTAATAAATTATGTATAATAATTTTAAAAATACAGTTCTATCTAAAAGTAAAAGCAATTTGATTTTTACAATATTTTATCTATCTACACCACAGTTAAAATACCAATATATTCATTATTTTTAAATTTTATACATAATTTTTCATACTTCATATAAAAAAATAAAGAAAAAAAAATATTCATATAAATTATCTCAGCAAACAAACTACACCCTTCAAAACATAAAAATAGTAGTATAACATATCTAAATAAATCACAAATTATATTAAAAGATATATATATATTTTTAAAAAGAAATATAAATATTGTATGTTGTATATTTTAGAGTAATAAATTTTCATGAATAATTTCAAGATATAAGAAAAGATTTGTTGCAATATAAAATTATAGTCAAAAAAAGTAAGTTGATTATGAAAAGTTTTTATTGATCGGATATAATCGAAATTGGTTGATTCATACAATTTTGTTAGCGTCTATCAGCGCATCAATGGCAAATCATGCCAAGAAATGCAAGTTAAACAAATGTCGGCTCAATGATAATCAATAAAATTTAATATTTGGTAAGATTCGAGAAATTAATAAGTCATTACAATATGAGTTAATTGATCATTAATCGTTATTAAGTGGAGATTAATTAACCATTAACCTGGTTAAATTTATTACAATATACAAAAATAATCAAAATAACAATGAAACACCAACAATAAAATGTTTTTATTTATCAGAAAATCTCTCAAAAATCACCGAATACTCCCGATAAGAGGCAAATATATTTTTATATTAATAAACATAAAAAACAAAAAAAAAAAAAAGAACAATAAAAGATCAAAACAAAATCCGTTGATGATATTGTTTGCGGATAGTCCGATCAACGAACGAAAAATGATGGACAGTCGCGGTCCAATTTGTCTTGAGTCCAATCAAACATGAAGACAATTCAAAATTGATCAATCCAATAAAGGCATAGGAAAAATTAATCGAATTAAATTGTAACAAACTTAGTGAAGGTGGAGAGATATAGTCGATTGAAACAATATCCAATGTGATTTTGATAAAAGACGTCAAATTAAATTTATTTCAAACACGCACAGACATACTTACATTCATCGTATTATCGTATACCATACCATAGAAATACTGCGAATGCTAGACATTCATCGCAAGGCCACACACATGTATAGAAATTGCATACAAATCAAATGTTCATTTTTCAAAGGTGAAGAAGGCATCTCAAGGACTTCCCATCAACCAACAATTGCAAGCCTTCGTTAATCTTCGAAAACGGCATCTCATGAGTGATGAACTCGTCCAATTTCACCTCCTACATCGATCGAACAAAATAAATCATGCGTATTTACAAAAACAATACATACAAATCATCATAAATCTGTCTTACTCCGTTCATGCACTGTTTGGCAAAACCTGGCAATTGCGATTTTCCTTTAAAATCGCCAAACACCGACCCCACAATTCTTCTTCCATCGAAAAGTTCCATCGGGTGCAATGGCAACAATCTTGGTGTCGGATGTATACCTAAAACTACGGCTAAGCCCCAACCCTGCCGACGAACCAAACATTAGTATTATGCAATTCATACACTTTTAAAAAATATAGGAGTATATATTGTTTTTTTATACTTCATCGTCCCAATACAATAGTCACGTTTACCATTTTTGTTCGTCCCAAAACAATAGTCTCATTTTCATAAATAATCATATCACTATAAAACTACCATTACTTTTTCATTATTATTACACAATTATCGTTACTTTTTACATTAATACAGTCACAAAGACAAAAAAGTCTTTTACCCGTCTTTTTATCCACCACCAATATAATATCAATATTCATTAAATCCGGTGAAAAATACAACCCAAACTATAGTTTTAGGACGGAGGGAGTATAAAATATCAAATCAAACTACTATACAAATACAAAATATAAGTAAAAATACAAATCAAATAGAGCCCAAAGTATTCTTTACATGAGGGTTGTGTTCTTTCTATTGATTTTTAAAAGAATTATGCTCCATTTAGATAAAATTTTAATTAAAAAAAAAAATCATTAAAAAATTAAGTATTTAATATTGTTATTTTATGAGAAAAAAATTAGGCAATTTTCGAAAAATTCATGTGAATCGTACCAAAAGAAAGAAAGTATCTATGTAAATAGATATTTAATTGTTGAAATAATATTTTGTATTAAAAATTATACTCCCTTCTTTTGATATAATTATACTAGTTTTTGTTATATTCAGTATGCATAATTTATTTATAATAAATAATTTTATTATTTTTATTTTAATTAATAATAATAATAATTAATTTGTTATTTTTTATTAGTTATTTAATAAATTTTTTATACTCCCTTTGTCTCCCAAAAATATTGTCATTTGGTTACATTCAAAATATTTTTGTATTTGAATAATTTATTGTTTTTTTTTTCTTAATTTGTACTACGTATCATAATTAATATTCAAATATCAACATCCAAAAAAATCAATGACAATCTTCTTGCGGGACAGAGGGAGTAATATTTTTACTTTTTTTTAAAAAAAATTATCCTATTTTTATATTAAAATATATTTTCTTGTAAAGGTCACATTTATTTTTTTACTTAATATAAAAAATATTTTTATATTTGTATAAAACGTTTTTTGTATAAATATCTTTTTATTAGTATTATAAAGTATATTTTTACAATTTTTTCTTAATTTATATTATATTTTAATATAATAATTAATATTTAAAAATTAATATCCAAAAAATAAATAAAATCGTTAGAACGGATGAACTAGTAACTATTTTTTTCAAATTTCCCTATCCAAGCATAATAGTATAATACTCCCTCCGTCCACAAACTAATATCATATTATTCTATTTGGGACATCTAATAGCTATTATCATATTTCTTTTTCTAAACACAAATTTTACATTTTTACTCTCTATTCATTTATTATTTTTAATCTCTATTATACAATTAAGGTCAAATTTATCAATTCATAACAAAAAGATAATTATCTAAAAAATCGCAAATATACTTTGAGATAATAGAAATTTGACAGAGAATCTAATAATTAACTTGGACGGTACAAGAGGGAGTAATATTTATTTATTTAAATGTTAAAAAAATAAAAAAAAAAAAACTTACATCATGTGTAGACAAAAATGCCTCTCGTAGAACGTCGAGGTTGCCAGCACACTCGAAGCTATAGTCAACGCCTCCTTCCGTCATCTCCCTTATTTTCTGCAGCCGTAACGGCCGTTTGATTTTGACCGTTAACTATATTAGTATTTAAATAAATCGATTAACTAACGGAGGCTCTGTTAATAAAATTAGCTGACCTGGTGTACGGCCTGGTTGTCCAAATCCTTGGGATTTATGAAGTCTGTTATCCCAATTGCTTCACCTTTCAAATATAATAATAATAACTATTAGTATTAATTTATTATTCAGAATAACCACAACAGATTAGTAATGTTTGCAATTTTGATACTTAAAATATTAGTATTATAAAAGAATATAGTAGGAATAAAGTATAAATGATTAAAATAATCTTATACAAAGGTAACGATACTTGTGTAATATATTGTAAGGGTATTTGTAATATTAAATAGATACTAAAAAAATAAATGAATATTTTATTACGAAACGAACTAAAATAAAAAAATAAATATTTTGTTATGGGACGGAGTATGTATTTAAATTAGGATTATATTATGAGTTCTATTTATTTATTTATTTCGATTTTAAATGTACCTTTGATACGTTTCTGTGGGTTTATGTCTACTCCAATAATTCTCGATGCACCTCGGGTCCTGGCCCCTTCTACAACCTACACATCAATAAAGTCATATTTGACGATTATTCCGTAAGGTTGTGGAAAATATCAGCTAGTCCCGGGCCTCCCGGGACCCCCACCGCTTGAACACTGTACAAACTATTATTATATTCAATTATTGTTAAAAAATAATACTATACCACCCACAATTAAGAGTGGAGCGGTAAGTTATTTGTAAATATGCATATTTGATGCGCCAATTGTATTAGAATCAAAATTTTTCAAAATTTTCAATTAATTGAAAAATATTTGTAAATAATTTGAATAGAATTTTTTTAAAAAAATACATTAAAAAAATTAAAATTTTAAGTAAATAAAAAATATTTACAAATATTTTAAATATTTAAATTGAAACTGAATCGAATATAATTATTAATATAAAATATAAAATATAATAATATAAATATATTCGATTCTGTTAACCAAATCGAACAAATATTAAATATACAATATTTGAATTAGAACAAAATTTGCTCGATTCGAATCAGTTTGGCAGTTAAGTTTGATTTTTTTCTCACCCCTACCAAATTATATTTTATTTTTTTTCTGTAGTTTTTTCAAATTATACAATCTAAACTCTGTGTCTGTATCAATCTCAAATCATTTTTTTTTTTCAAATTAATAGAAAGAAACAGACATGCAAAAAAAGTTATTACAAGAATATGTCAAATTTTTTCAAAAGATCTGTCTGTATAAAAACATTTTTTCACAGTGCGGATTTTAGCAGCTCTCGGGACTCGAACTCCAGAAATCCCGAGACCTCCAGGGACAAAAAAGTCAAAACACATAAAACTCACCGCCAGCCCCACCGCTCCCAGCCCAAACACCGCCACCGTCGCCCCCGCCGCCACGTTCGCCGTGTTCCATACCGCGCCGAGTCCTGGACCACCGCCGACACCACCATCGTCATTCTCAAAATCTTTTCCCCCCCAAAAAAAAAAAAACAAAACCAAAATCGTGCTCACCAGTGGAGACCCCACAGCTTAGAAGCGTCATTTTCTCGAGCGGCGCGGCGGCGGGGATCCGTACGACGCAGCCGGCGTCGACGACGGTGTACTCGCTGAACGTCGACGTGTTCAGGAAGTGGTAGATCGGAGCGCCGTCGCTGGCGGCGGAGAACCGGCAGCGCCCGTCGCCGGTCATGGTCGACTTGAAGGGGTCCACCCTGTACACCGCGCAGAGATTCGTCTTGTCGGAACGGCAGTGCGCGCAGTTCCGACACTCGCCGTTGAAGATCGGCACGACATGGTCGCCGGCGGCCATGTCCGCCACGCCCTCCCCCACGCTCTCCACCACGCTGCAACCAACCAACCATTATTGCGTGATCCATCTAAATTACCCATTTAATTAAATAATTAATTATTTTGATTAGGAATTTACCCAGAAGCTTCGTGGCCCAGAATTCTCGGGTACTTCTGCTGCGCTTCGTTCTACAATAAATTTTTAAAATTAAAAAAAATAATAAAAATTATATAATATATATATGTGTGTATAGGTATACCTCGCCTTGCCAGGCGCTGACATCGGTGTGGCAGATGGAGGTGAAGAGGATCCGGATTCGGACCTCCATTTTCTGCGGCGGGTCGACCCGGATGTCCTCCACCACCAGCGGCTGTCCGGGTCCGTACGCCACCGCCGCTGCAATACATATATATATATATATATGAATTTGGAGATAATTATATTATGTTGTTATTATTATTACCTTTGCATGTGATGACTTTTCCGGCGGTTGGCTGATCACCGGCGGCGGCGGCGGTCCAGGTGGTGTCGCTTCCGAGGCTGCCCATAATTAATGTGGGGGTGAGTAGAAGGGAGGGTGGGGGGTTGTATTTATGGGCAAAATTTTGAAGTCAAACGCGACGGGCTGCCGGATGTCTCTTTATTAGTTTCTCTGCTACTGTAACTGTGAGGAGGATCTTTATTTTAAGATTTTTTTATTTTTTTTTAAATTAAATAATTTTTTGGTGTGCATCTCTCACCAATTGACAAATGTGTACAAAAGAGATATACATAATTAAGTATTCATAATAATAATAATAATAATATTTTTTAAATAATATGTATAATATATTGTAAATCTTGATTATATAAGTACTAAATTAACAATCGACATTCTTATTTTAAGACAGACATAAATAGAAAATACTTTCTCCGTTCCAGTTTTATAGTCTTATGGTTATTTATGAATATAAAACTATTGTTTTGAAACGGTAAACATGATTATTGTATTGGAACGGATTGGGACGGATGGAGTAATATATTTTTATGAAATGAATGAAGTATTATTGTTTTTTTTTTTTAAATACTCCATTAAATTAAATTACTTTTTAAATCAAATAAAAAAAATAAACAAATCTTCTTTATTTCTTTTTTTTTTTTTTTAACAATTTATTAACTCCGTTAATTTCGTTTTCGTTGTTAGTTTGCAAATAACTAATAATCGATGGATTTGACTTCTACATTTCACAGTCGATTGTGACGTTGGATATTGACAATTTTTAATAAAATACTTATGATGGGTATAATTAGTAAATAATTAAAAATGTATTAGTGAAAATAATTATGATATAATAATAAAAAAAAAAAATTAGATTAAAATAATTAATTAGTCTAATTAAAATTTAAAAAAAATATAAATTAAAACATTTAAAATGAGATTAAAGTATCTATATATATTATTTTTTTTAAAAAAAATGACAGAATAAATGAGATAGACGAAAATAAAAAAATTAACATTGTAAGTGAGACCAAATGAGTAAAATTTAGTAAAATAATAATACATTACGATATAATTTTATTTATTTTTACTTGGTGACATTTTTAAAATAAAAATTTAGATACTATATAATTTTAAAAATATAGAATATATATTTAAATATTTTAAATAAAATATATCAATAAAATATATTAAAAATAAAATTTTATATAATACAAATAAATAAAATATATTTATTATTTTTAATTAAAAATAAATAATTTTAGAAAAAAATATAGTTTTGATGTAAATAAAAATAAATAGTGGATGTTTTGACTTTAAAAAAAAAAACACATCCTAAGTATATAGATGGCTAACATATTTGATTATAAATATCAATATATATATATATTGTATTACCATTAAATGTATAAAAAAATATAATTCAATAATTTCTTTTGTCCTATGAGTATGTTTGATTTGGATTTCAATTTTTTTTTATTATTATTTATTATGTATAATTTTAAATAAAAATATATTATTTTTTTAAAAATAACATAAATAAAAATATTATTTAAAATATAATTTAAATTTAAAACATGCCGGAAGAAACATATTATTCAACAACGAAAAAACAACTATAAATATATTTACTTTAGACATTGTTTATTTGATTTTTTTCTTTCATAATTCAATTTTATTTTATTTTTCAAAATATTATATTAAATTACTATATTTTACTTGATTAATAAGATATAATTTAGTTATAAATTGAGCTATTAATATTTTTAATGTTTAAAAATAATATTTCATATGAATAGTATCTTTTAAGAATAAAATTGTATATATTACAAATAGGTATACACAATTAATATAGATTTGTTTACAGAAAATAATATATATATTTTATAAAAAACAGAAAAAAATTATAAATAAATCCCATTTTAAAAAAGTTTGGAAAAATAACTGAGATAGTATTTATTTGTGAGGTTTTTCTTATTATATATATATATATATATTAATAAATTTCAAATCAAATATTTGTTTATTTGTTTGTTTAGTATTTTGATTTGAAATATTATTTTTGGGTGAAGCATAACGAAGCATATCAATAATATAAAAAGTAATATTTTATATAAAATATTAATTTTTATGAAATAATAAAATATATATTTGAGATCGTTTCGAAAAATAAAATTTATGCAACTTGTAACCAAACAAACAAGTTTTAGAATTCATATAAAAACATAGGCAATTATTGTTACATTATTGTCCCCCTCCTTTTGTTTTTTGGTTTTTAATAATGCATATAATAAAATACACAAAGCCAATATTTATATACACATTTTTTGGAAGTTTACATATATGTTTATTAATAAGTATTCTTTCCGTCTCAAACACCGTACAATATTTGTGTTTGGCACGAGAATTTAAGTGGGGAGTATTAAGTATGGTAATTTGAGATAATTTGGATATTAAGTAATGTGATTGAGAGATAAATGATTATTTTTTTTATTTGAGTTATGTGAGGAGATAAAGTGAAATATATATTAATATATGTATAAAAATATTATTAATTATTTCTAAATTTAGAAATGTTGCAGTGAGTTTGAGACAAACAAAAAAGAAATATTGCAGGGTATTTGGGACCGAAGGGAGTATTATTTTAAAATAAAAATATATAATTATATATTGTACTTTAAAAAATATATATTAAAATTAAATTTTCATATATATATATTTAGATTATATCAACTATTTAGATATTTATAATTTTTATTTTTTTAAGATTTCAAATTTTCAATATTTTGTAAAAAAAACATATAGGGTTTGTTTGTTGTGATTTCAAATTCAAAACAGTATTATTCTGCACAATTTTAATATAAATATTACTCCCTTTGTCCCAGATACCATGTCCACATTGTCGTTTCTGTCCGTCCCACATACCATGTCACTTTCCTTTTTTTGGAAAATAATTACACATTTTAATCTCATTTTAATTTTTTTAATTTTAATTAAACTAATTAGCTATCTTAATTTTAATTTATAATTATTTATATTATAAAATAATTATTTTCACTAATACATTCTTAATTATCTACTAATTACACCCCTCCTAAAATACCGTGTCTACGGTGTAGCAGACACGATATGTGGGACGGGAGTACATCTTAATATTACTTATTTGAACAAAAAATTAAATCAAATTCTCATTTTAAATTAATTTCAAATTATAATCAAATAAATTCTTACATTTAGATATAAAATTTGAAAGTTCCAAACTTTTAATTTCTTTTATAAAATAATAAAATAATAATGGATATTATATTTTATAAGTATATATATATAATGTGATTTTTTTATATATATATATATATTCATCTATGTTCATATCTTTTCATACATTGTAATGTGAAACTCCTGATGATAATAATTATTATATTGCTGTCGGCTGAAAGACAATTTTTTATTTTTTACTTAAAAAAAATCAATGGTATATAGTCAGCCATAGGGTTTTAATTAAAATCACACATATAGAGTTAGTAGTAATTTTTTAAATACAATATTATATTTGAAAAAAAAAAAAGAAAAAAAAAAAGAGACAGGTGTGCAGTTGGTCAGATGTATATATATATTTTTATTGTAATCATTTCAATAATTATTTTTTAATGTGTCATAAATTATCATTATTACTTTTTAAATGTGTCATAAAATATCATTATTGTTTTTATATAAGATTATTAGCCCTTAATGATGGGCTAATCATTCTAAAAATTATTTGAATGGTCAAGCGTGTGTGTGTTTGGGTCCTTTTTGGATTTGTTTAATATGAACGCAGTTCTATTATTATTATTATTATTATTATTATTATTATTATTATTATTATTATTTTAATATACAATTATTGCTTTTAATAAAAATATACTGTATTATTTTTTAATAAAATATTATTTAAATCTTTTAATAGGTCAATATATAAAGCTTATGTTCCTTCAAAATTTTAAGAATAATAAATTTGTATTGCTAATTATTATGAACGGTAAAAATATTTTAATTTCTTTTTAGTTGGGATTTGAATAGTAAAAATTTTAAATTTGAATAGTTATATGATGTGATATAAATAGGTATTGATGTGATATTTTGAACGTAAAATTAATTTTTAGTATAATATAAAAAATAAAAAATATGTGTTTGATTTGATTTTTTTGGGAAAAAAAAAATGAATAGTGAATTTAAAATCCAATTTCCCAAACAAACACACCCTTAAGATTATTTAGATGAATTTAATTTTTTTGATTATTTATAAATAATTATTACAATAAAATAATATATTTTATTAAAAATATAAATACAAAATTGATTAAGATAAAGTGAAACAGTCATTTATTTCATCTAATATATATTAACACTTGATTTGCTATAATTTTAAAAAAAAATTATTAAAAAAATACAAAGTAAACAAATTCAATATTATTTTGGATTTTAATTTAAATTTTTTACTGTAATTTTTATTAAAATATATTATTTTATTTTATAAAACATCATATTTGGCTACTAATAAGTAAACACTAAAATAAAAAATAAAATAAAATTAATGAAATGCCCTATTTAATACAATCTTGTGAATAAAAAAAAATATATATTTTATATTTTATTTTGATAAAAAAAAATTAATGGCTTGATGTGACAAGTAAAAAAAAAGTATTTTAGTTTTATATAAACATATATTGAATGCAATATTTTTTTTTTTATTAAAAAAAATACATGTGAAATCAATCCTATTACTTTTCTATGTTTAAGATAGCCTTTTTTACAATGACTTGAGTAATAAGAAAAGTTGCTGACTGAGCCAAGTCTAGACATGTATTTATGAATATGTATATATATACCAAAATTATTTGTGGTGTAAAAAGTCTATACCATTTCTTCATAGTTTAGAAATTTTATTATTATTTCTTTATAAGTAAATGGAATATATATTATATACATATTGTATGAGTGTAATTATAAAGTATTTTTATAATTAATACGTGTAATTTTATTTTTTTTTAATAAACAAATCAGTAATCTATATGGTTGTGTTCTTTTGTGGCAGTTACCCCAAATTTTTATTACTCAAGATTCTTTTTCCCTAAAAAAAATATCACAT